CCAGGCAGCCCGGAATCTCCTCTCGGCTTGCTTCATATTTGAGGGTGGGGGGTGCCAGCCAGAGAGGGAAGCTACCACTGGCCGTTCACTGAGCGTAGGACCCTGCTCTGTCTCCAGACTCAGCCACCCCACCAGACGCCCCCACGAGGACAGCTCACTGTCCTGCCAGTCCTGCTAGCCTCCAGTGGGGGGCACCTTCCTAGCTCACGGGGCTTCATTCCACTCCAGGTCCCCGACACCGTGCAAACACGGGCAGCGCTGATGCCGTATCCTGCTGGAGTTGTGCTCTAGGGTGCCTGCCCCTGCAGGTGAACAGCAGTGTCCCCGAGTCTCCACGTCCTGTGAAGTCACTGCCGTTGCTGAAACCTGTCCACACCAACCTCCCCCCTCACTGGTCCTGAGGCCTCTAGGCCACCTCCTGCCCCATAACTGGTAAGAATATGTGTTCAAGTGATGGCAGCGGTGACCCACTTATTAGCAGATGTCACAGCCCCAGGGCACGGCGGCGATGCTGAAAGAACAGAGGGGGACGTGGCAGGGAGGGACACGTCCTTGGGAAGGCGCCTTCTGTTCCAGCGCCGCTTCACCATCTAGGAGCCGAGCGAGGGGCGGCCGGAGCGACAGCTAATCAATCCGGTGACGCGCAGGATGTGCGGACGAGGATCACTGCACAGGCACCTTCCTCGGGCCGCGTCGCCCCGGCCCCCACAAACGTCAAGCACCAAGGGCTGAGGCCCAGGTGCGACTGGCCCCCTCCTCCCTGGGCCTGGCAGCGGGGCTGCCCTGCTAGCTGAGCAGGTCTGTCTCCCGGGCCAGAGGACGTGGCTGAGAGGCCGAGGAGCAGGGCCCCAGGCTCTGCCTCAGCTCTGTGGCCCTGGGGGAAGTCACAGCCTCCAAGCCTCAGATTTGTTTTGTTTTTTTTCTGCTGTAAAACGGGGATAAGATGTCACGGACCTTACTGCGTGACCCGAGGACCAAATCAGAAACGAGAAGGTAGCTGGCAACGTGCTACGCCAATGCAAGACAAACCCAGCAGGGAGGACCAGTCACGGCCTGGCACACCACTACCCGGGGTGCACTGCTCCCTTAGAGCCCCCCAAAGGATGCGTTCCCCTCAGACAGTACTGTTTTAGGAAAGAACCAGCTGGTTTGAAAAGCGGGCTGCACACTGGTTTAAGTGCTGCAAATGGTCAGTGGCAAGTGTCGCCGAGTAAGAAGGACCCAAGAGGGAAACAGAGGACACGCCTCCCGGTAGAGAAAGAGAACCCAGGATTCTCAGGGAAGGCCCGGGGGACCCTTCTGATGTTGCCTTGAGCCGGTTCCCAGACTCTGCTCTAGGAAGAGAGAGTCCAGCAGGCAGAACTCCCCCTCGGCCCCCAACACACACCTGCTTCTTCAGGGGCATTTCCGGAGGGAGTATGGGGAGAACCCCTCTGTCCAGCAGAGGGTGGCGGGTCACTGGCCAGGCACCTGCATCTCTCTCCCTGGTCGCCCATGCCCTGGAGGTGGCTCTCACAGCTCCTGCGTTCAAGGCAGGGTGGCAAGCCAGGGTGACCTTACCCTGTTCCAAGGCAGCCCACGAGGTCCCCCCCCACCCCAATACCGCCGTGTGCGGCCGAGTCTCCAGCCAGGATGAGCTCCCTTCTGCCATCTGCGCTCCCAGCTCTGCTCGGCCCGTGCCTGCTGGGCTGCTGGTGACCCAGCAGCCCCTGTCCACCTGTGAATGGCGGTTGCTGCTCCTGTGACTGGCCAGGAGCCTTCAGCACTTGGGGAGTCCCATGTCCCCCCAGGCTTCCCTCTGACACTGCAAAGGAGGAGGCAGTGACGGGGCCCAGGCCCTGGGCAGAGGAGGTGAAGAGCAGGCTGGGAAGCACTGTGGGTATGAGGAAGCGAAACAGGAACACTTGGCCGTGCCCTTGACTCTTGGGGACTGCGACCCATGTTCTGGTTCCCGGGCACTGGGGACAGTCTGAGCCTGGACTGGACTGATTTACGGAGCATCCTAGCACTTCACCATGGTCGCTGGCACCTGCTCACTGTAGAGGAAGGAATGAAATGCTAAATTCCGGCTTTGTTTGCTCCCAAAGCCGCAGAAGCTCTGCAGAAAGCATCCCAAGATATCCCAGCCAGAGGCAAGGTTGCGGGTTTGAAAGAGCACTTTGCTAGTTGATCCTTCAAAGGAGCAGGAGGGGTGGCGGGTGGGGTCCTGAGAGGCTGAGGCCTGAAAGTAGGTCCTGATGTCAGTTCTCATGGGTCCTCATAACAGGGCTGGGTCGCTGCTGGCTCCAGCTGCGGCCACTTGCTGGGGCGCCCTGGGGAGCCACCTGACTCACAGGACCCCCACCTCCCAGCACCTGTGATGCGGCCCCTCCGAGGAGGGAGAGGGAGAAACTCACCACGTCGGCTGCACTGCACTCGCAGGACGTGGGTGGGGTCGCCAGGTGCGCGAGGGGAGGAGGAATTTTCCATTTGTTAAGGTCAAGGGCTTGGAGAGGGGACGGGGAGCTGCTGGGAGAGAAAGCTCCCTCCCTGTGTGTGGTCCTGACGCTGCACACGGAGTTAATATCCCCAATATTCTCATTCTGCATGTGCAACGCAGCAGGCTCTGAAAATTAAACCGCAAAATGAAAGCCTGTACCTTTATCCCCAGAACACACTGTCCCGGAATAGCAATGAAGAAGTGGTCACCAGGAGGCCCTTTCAAACACGCAGGCCCGGACAGGTGCGCCTTCTGCCCAGGACAGAGAGAGGGCTGTGCCGGGGTGGGAAGGGCGCTTTTAGTCCGCTCGCTGCCTTGCCGGACACTTGGGTGAAGCCTGGCTGGCAGCAAAGTCAGAAACGGCTGGTAGAGAGGGGCACAGAGAGGGGCACGGGAGCCTCCAGAAGGGAAGGACAACCTTCTGAACGAGGGTGACTGGGGGGCAAGGGGAAGGACGACCTTGGTTCCCCATGATCCAAAGAGGCCGCTGGGGAAGATGCCATCATCACGAGCAACCGAGAGCCCAGGACTCAGGAAGGAACCCACACCTGCCGACCCCTTCTCCACTCACTTTGCCCCTCCCATCTCAGAAAAAGGGACGCAGAGCACCCAGTACTTAGGGTCGGGAGACACTGTCCTGCAGCAGCCAGGGACCTGGGAGCCACACGCAAAGCTGTGAAGTAACTCTGGAAACAAAGGCACGGCCCCCCTGCCGTGAACTCTCCAAAGCGGGGGTAGGGGGGGGTTGGGAGGGGGAAGAGCACGTCGGAACTGCAGACGTTCCAGCAGCCCCGAGCCCCCAGCAGTGGGCAGGGTGGGAGGCAGCAATAGCCCAGAGAGAACAGGCCGTGTCCGCTCCCCGTCCCCCTCCTGTTTCTACAGCTTTTGCAGGCCCGGTGGCAATTAGCTGTAGGAGCTATAAGCACGTATCTGGGCGGCGAAGGCAGTAATTAATGCCCGTCTGCTTTCCTGAAGGTTCTTTCTGTTCGGTCGGAGTTATTGAGATTCGGGGAGCGAGGCTTCCAGGATGTGGAAGGTTTGCAGGAAGAAGTGCAGGAACAATCGAGTAAGACAGTGATGATGCTTCTAAATAATTCACCCGGCCAACGGCAGCAGCCAAGATTCCCAGGCTCCGTATCTCTTTTGCCGTGGGAGGGGGATGTGCCGGGCAGAGCCTGCACAGGGGCCAGCGGCCCCCTGGGAAAGACCCACCCGAGGGCTCTGCATCGCCCCTCTGCCCACACGTTCCCTCTGCCCACGCGCTCCGTGTCTGTGTGAGCCTGCCCATGCCAGTTAGAGATCCAGATGGGTTGCTACACTTCCTGGTACTTTTGCTAATGTTACCAATCGCTGTCTGTTGCAATGCTAAGAGGCTAACAGACCTGGGCTCTCCTGGCTGCCCACCCCCAAGGTGGGGAGGCAGGGAAGGGGGTAGGAGCTCAGATGCATTTCCACTAAAAGATCAATTCCCAGCCAGAGCCGAACGTGGGAGAGAAGAAACACAGACCACGAGACAGCTCTGGAAATGCAGAGGGAAAACTTCTCTCCCAGGGTTTGGGCCACAGGACTCCTCTGGTAGGTCTCTGGGGTGGGGCTGGGGAAGGCAGGACAACCACTCAGCAGCCCTGGGGGTTAACGAATTCAGACCCGAACGAACGAACGAACGAACGACACAGCCGGCAGGGCCTGCGCGAACCTTCGCCAGGATAGGCGTAATTAACTTAAGAGGCCGGCTCCCCGAATCGCTCACTCTCCAAATCAGCTAAGTGGCCACGTGTCAAACTGTGTGTCACCCAGCACACCGAAATGTGTGTCAGGCTGAGGACCAAGAGGAAGCAGAATATTAATAGATACTGCAAAAGGCAAAGAGAAACATTTCTCAGTCCCGCCCGCAAAGCAGGCAGAGATAAATAACTGTCTGGTTTTGTATCTTATTACTTCTCCTCCCCTCCGCCCCCGCCCAATGGCACAAAGCAATCAAGAAGGAGCCTGGAGATTCATCATCTTCCCTTGTCGGCGGGGGGCGGGGAGCAGGGAAGACGGGGAGCTCAGATGGCAGGGAAGGCTGGTGGCTCAAAAAAGCCTCCGGGGTCCCCCTGGAAAGCCAGTTAACATGGCTCAGTCCTGCCTGCCCGCGGGAAACCTGGGGTCCACCGTATGCTCCTGGGCTGGCCAGGAGGGAGGTCAAAGCATGGACGTCTCCAGAAAAGTCGCCCTGGCACTCACTCCAACGGGGCTTTGCTAAGACTGCCCCTCAAAACCCGAGCGACGTTCGCCGCCCTGGAGCTGGCAATGATCGGAATGCCAACTCCACACCACATATGACGGAGGCTGGCCGCCAGGACACTCTGAGGCTAGAGTCTTAGTGACACGATCCACCTTCTGGCCAGGACCAAGGCCCCAGTAATGAGCAGAGTGTGGAGCCACGCAGACCTTTCTCCCGGGAGGGTTGTGCCAGAGGTGAGAGGCAGCCCACACGCCCAGGCGGGGCGGGGCCACGGGCAGGTGCCAGGCCACTCACCAAGTAGACGCGGTAGACGTCCCCTCGGCGCAGGGGCCCCCAGCACAGGTCCGTGTCGTTGTGCTTGGTGTCGGCCTCCACACCGCAGGAGTCGTTGCCAGTGGCGCTGCTGATAAAGAGAACAGGGGCTCAGAGTGGCCCTCCCTGCTTGGCTGGAAGCACACAGCAGGTCACATCATTAATCACCGGCAACCACTGAGCTCCCCACTCCCCCCATAGCAGCTTTTGATCCACAAACCGAATATTCCTAGGTTTTAGGGCATGCATCACTTGTTCCTGTCGCACCGTTAGGACGCCCCCGGGGGACTCCCAGTCACCTTCCCGATGGGGCAGGGCAGGGGACAGCTGTGGAGTGGGTCTCTGAGGGACAGTATGCACAGCTGGCTGGGTCGTGCTGACAGATTCACTCGGTGTGTGTTTCTACTCTGAAAACCCTCCCCTGACCGCCCAGGAAGCCCGTGTGGCAACACGAGGGGGGTGGGGGTGGGAGGGGACACTCACCAGGACACCTGCATGAGGGAGAAGGGCACGGCGGCAGCGTAGATGGCCAGGTCCCCGTACAGGTAGATGATGATGCAGAAATAGAACAGGTTGACCCCCACTGGAAGGAACAAAGTCACCGGTCAGGCAGCCACAGGAGCATTGCATTCTTTTTTGAGGACTCAGCTTCTACCCCTCCCATAGCTTTTGGTTCTCCTGGCTCCTGTTCTCTCCCAAAAGGATGAGAAAACGACCCCAAAGCTACACTGTAATGCAGGCAGGAGACACATCTGCTCACGACTTTCACCCGAGAGGGGCTAAGTGAGGCTCCAGACAGGTGCCCGGTGAGTGAGAGGCATGGGCTGGGGAGGAACCACAGGCACCTTCAGGCTCAGGGCAGGGTGTCTAGGGAAGGGGTGGAGGGGGAAGGGAGGGAGGGGAGGAGAAGAGATGTTCTGGGTGAGGCCCCTGGGCCAGGGCCCCCTTTACAGCCAAGCCCAGGCTCTAAGACAGAAGACGCTGCCAGGGAATTGAAAAGCAGAGAAGGTAACAGAAGGCCCAGCTTCTAAAGCTACAATCGGGAGGGTAAAGCCCTCCATTTCCAAAGACCAATGGCCAAGCCGCGGAGGGTGGGGTGGCCAGGCGTGCGAGGAGAGGTGCTGGGAGAGGCAGTGCAGGAGCGGTGCTTCAGGTGGGCCACTCCCCTTACGAAGCGTGGCCAGGGCGGACGCAGGCTCTGGCGGGGCACATGGGGCTCTCTGTGCAGGGGCAAACCCTGGTCCCCTGGCCTGCAGGAGGGGCCTGCACTCGGAGCTGGGAGTGCAGGCTCTGGTCCTGATCCCATTGGCCTCACTTCCCAACACCCTGACCGCCTCCAACCCCGTACACTGAGGACTCCACCGGCGCTAAACGCCACGTGCCTCCACCTATAAAGACGCTGAAGAAAGGTCTGGGCCCTGCAGCCCCAGGGTCACAGTCCGACAGCCAGTCTCAAACCTCCGTTCAGACTGGCTGCTCATTTTGATGGTACTGATCTCAAGCGGCTGGCTTCACGGGGAACAGAAAGAAAAATGAAGTGACAGCTGCCTCCCGATGCCGGTGGCTCAGAAAAGCCTCCGGGGCCCCAGGGGAAAGCCGGGACATGCTCCTCCTGGGCTCTCTGAGGGCGGCTCTGCTCCTAGGAATCTGGGGGGGAGGGGGGTGGGGGGGGAGAAACCAGGAAAAAACAGGCCTTGAAAGAGCCCAGGAGCCTCAGACAGCCTCACTGTCCAAGCTCAGTAGCCCCCGCGGTCTGCCTGCCACTCACCCAGGCTCCAAGGACAGCCCGCGCCCCAGCTTGTCTTTCTGCAGCGAGGAACTCCCCTCCCCCACAGCCTCTCCTTCACCTGCCACAGATCAGGGAGGAACTCCCCCCCGCCCCCCAGCCTCTCCTTCACCTGCCACAGAATCAGGGAGGAACTCCCCCCCGCCCCCCAGCCTCTCCTTCACCTGCCACAGAATCAGGGAGGAACTCCCCCCCCCCCCCCCCAGCCTCTCCTTCACCTGCCACAGAATCCGGGGTCAGCTCTGTTTATAAACTGCCACTGGCCCTCCCTGATCAATACATTTCATTACAAGACACAAAATGTTGGAAGATCAATGAATTTCCTGAGAGGACAGCAATGATGGAGGCCTGGCATTCCTAATGACAAGAGATGAGGCTGGTCTGATTTTGTGGGGGGTGGCGGCCCTTGGTGAGGGTGGTAGGTGACAATCTGTAAATCGGGAAGAGAGCAGAGCAGTGGTTTTCATCAGGGGGCAATTTTGTCCCGCAACCCCTACTGGGGACATCTGACAATGTCATAGCTGGGAGGTGCTGCTGGCAACCAGTGTGCAGAGGGCAGAAACGCTCCTCAGCACCCGATACACACAGGACAGGCCCCCTGGCAAAGGGTGGTCCGGCCCAGACGGCAGCAGTGCTGAGCGGAAACCGGAGACGACGTCCTCTAAGCGGGCGCTGCTCGCACACAGTTGAGGTAAACCAGGAGCCTAGCGCACGGGGAGGGAAGACAAAGCCAAACCACAAGTTCCTAGAATTCTTAAGAAATCAGCGCGGACTACAAAACACGCAAATCAGAAAGGAGGTTTAAAAGGTAAGCGTCTGCCCTCCAATGTGCTTTTAAAAATATTTACTTTTATTGATTTCAGAGAGGAAAGAAGAGGGAGATAGAAACATCAAGGATGAGAATCACTGACTGGTTGCCTCCGGCACGCCCCCCACCTGAGAATTGAGCCCGCAACCCGGTTTGTGCTCTGACCAGGAATTGAACCGTGACCTCTTGGCTCATAGGTCGACACTCGATCACTGAGCCACACCAGCCGGGCTCTAATGTGCATTTATTTCAAAAGCTTGCATTTGGAAGGAGACCACGTATGGTTCCTGGGGGGACATGTTTACGATCTCTTATCTTAGTCTAGTGAGGTGGGGAGAGGCAGAAATGGAACAAATTGACACAGAAGTGGGCAGACACGACCGATCTGGTTTTCATGAATCCTGGAAACCCTCTGTGAGGCTGGCACGGGGGATGGGAGTGGACGCTCGGGCCACCTTTGCCTGCTGCTGACAACCTTTTGGACTAGACAGTCCCATCACACCACCAGTGGGGAAGAGAACACTCAGTGTCCTAAAAAGCAGCAAGAAGCTTCCAGTTCCTACACCCCCACCCCCACCCCAGCTCTAAGTTAGTACAGCCATGTTCAAAACGGAAAAGAGCGGGTGGCAACGCCCCCCGCTGCAGCCAGGGGCTCCGGCAAAGGGGCAGAAAACCTCCCAGGGGAACCGCAAAGGCAAGGATGTCAGATGTGTTGGACTCTAAGAAGGAAAAACAGGTCTGAGCATTAAAAAACGACTCTTGCATAGCTCCTCTTCCAAAAGAACAAGACTGGCCACGGAGGCATAAGGTGTTTTGGTGAAACACCCAACAACCCAGCACCTGAGCTCGTTGGGTCCTGTCAGCTTGTAGCCAAGCCCCCGAAGGGAAGGGCAGGAATCCCAAGCCGTGCAGTGGGCAGGTAGAGAGTGGGGAGAGGTTCTAAGGCGCTCAGATCCCAGACAGCGGCCCTGTGCACGGGCTCCCAGCGCCCTCTGCTGGCCACCAGGAAGAGACAGAGAACACACGCAGCGAAGCCTCTACACAGAAGAGTCCAGAAGCAGAGAGACCGGTCAGAGGCAATCAAGCAAGAGGCACAACGTGACCAGCCGGCCTCCATGGGTCCCCTTCCTTGGGCAGCTGCTTAGGACTCCTGACCTCTGTGTTCAGCAGGAGATAAGCAGCCGCCTCCCTATTCCTAGCGCCGATGACGAAGAGGAGTCCAAGGAAACCACCTGAAGCCGCCCAGGTCTCTCGGCAGCTGGCTGCTCAGAGCACTGGGAGCCGGTCAGCAATCCGCTCCTCCCGTCGCCTGCCCCGTCCCACTGTCCAGGCGGGACCCTCATTCCAAGCGCCCGGGTCAGTAGAAGTGCGAGCTCCCCCTCCCTCGCCGCCTTGGAAGTAACGTGTACCTTTACTGAAGAACATGGAGGCCATCTGCCCCATTTCCACGCGGTCTGTGATTTCAAAAAGGTTCGGAGAGCCGCGTCTCTCTGTGGAGCCAGAGGACAAGGAAGAGGAGGAGGTTGGTTCATTTGGCTTCTAGAAGGGGCGACTGAGCTCAGAACTCTCCAGAATAATGAAATCCCCGCGTTTTAAACTCTTGAGAAAACTTTTCTTAATGCTTATGGTTCAAAATATCTAGAAAGGGACCTCAGGGATGCTGGTCGTGGGGTCAGAAGGGGACGCTTAGCCCTTGCTCGGCCAGAGCAGGGATCAGACTCTCGGGCACGTGCAGTGCAAGTGCGTGTGCGTGTGTGTGGTGGGACAGGAGGAAGGAGAGAACTCGGAGACCCTAGATGTACTGGCACGCCCAGTGTGCACCAGCACTGAGACAGGCATTTCATTATTCCCACAATGGCAGCCGAGGTGGGAAGCTGGGGTGCAAGCGTTACTAAGTGCTGAGCCTGCAGGGGGAAGCCTGGGTCTGGACTCCTTCTTTACCACGGAGCCTTCCCAGGAGCCACCTGCAGGCGAGAAGGGCCACGGGGTCTCTGCAGAGACTCCCCAGTCCTCTCTGCGGGGAAAGGGACCCTGTGGCCCCAGGGAAGTGCAGGCCGGCCAGGAGCCCCAAGACTTACGCACAGACAGGATGGGCCGTTGCTCTGCCCGCTCGTAGCTGTCCTGGACCCGACTGTCGCTGTCAGAGGCGGCGGAGGAGCTGTCGTCGTCTTCCTAGGACAGAGCGCGCAGGGAGGGGGACAAGCACAGGAAAGGGGTCCGTTACGGCAGGAAACCCCATGACAACGGAGCACCCGCCTCCTCTGTTATTTCTTTCTGGAAGGGATCTGATTGGGAAGCTCTCGGCACATCCCCTCGGTCACATTAGAAGGCGCAGGCACAGTCGGACGTCGGGTCCAAGGCCACGGCACAGACCCTGGTGCAGAAGCTCAGCAGGACTGAGCTGGGTCAAGGTGGGGCAGGAGGGACCAGGAGGCAAACTGGAAAGAGCAGAGGCTGCAGGCGTTCTGAGCTTAGGTGGCTGCTAAGCTTTTGCTCGGGGCAGGGTCCCTAGCAGTGCTGTGGACACGGGTCCGCCACGCATCGGGGGGAAAGGACTGGCCAGTGAGTGGCACACAAGCGGACAGGGGCACTGCCCGGAGACAAGGGCAACGGGCGCACCTGGTGGTTCTCCATCCTCTTCCAGCGGAGCTGCGCATTGGCTGCCGCCATGGCCTCCACCACAAAGGTCGTCGTCACAAAGCTGCAGGGGAAGGCCACGCGTGAATCGCCAAAGGCAGGCAGGAGGTTAGAGGAGGAACAAAGAAAAAGGAAGTCATTTCAAAGACCGGACTGGACCAACAACCCGGCCAGACCGAAGCCCTGTCCCTCCTTGGAGCTGTTTCCTGGGAAACTCTCACGGTGGGTCTGGCCTGATCAGAAGTGTGTGCGTGTGCGTGTGTGTGTGTGTGTGTGTGTGTGTGTGTGTGTGTGTACACGGGCTGCCTCGTGTGCTTGCCTTGATGTCCCCGTCCCCATGTAAAAGGTGTTTCGGATGCACAGCAGAGGCGACACAGGGCCATGCAGTACCGCACACCAAAAAGGGGCCTTTGGGGGCAGGGGTGGTGACCTGGTGCTCTAGGTCAGAAGGAGGAGGCAGGTTCACGGGCCCGCAAGGTGCCGGGAAGGGCAGAGGCAGCCTCCACTCTCCTTGCTGGGACACAGGCACATGGTCAAGTTCCAATGACACACGCTGATGACAGAGCACAGGCAGGATAATGGAAAAGGATCACTTGGCTCTGGAACCTGTCCTTGCCGCCCTTTTGGGGGTGGTGTATTTTCACTTTCCTAATAACCTGGCTAATATGAAAATAAGCTTGCATTTTTATGGCCTCCATCAAAAGGGAGGCTGGGAGGCGGCACCAGACATTTGCTGAGAAGTCAGACTACAGTGACAAATCACCCTTTCTCTTCCTCGTAAAGAAACCGGAGAGGCCGAGACGACAGCTGGGACGCACGGATGCTTCTGTCGGCAGGAGGCTCAGGGGAGGCGGCCTTCCCGCCACAGACCTGAGGGAGGGCTCTGTCCCTGCCATCACCACCTGGACAGCACGGCTCTGCCGCTGGACTTGACCCTGAGCCCTCTGAGGGCTGTCACCTGCCGTAGGCAGACTCCTCAGCCCAGCAGTCAGGTGGCAAGTGCAATAGGAGTTAAATCCATATCCACTCCAGGCTGGGGGCGGGCAGCCAGCTCAGCATCTCCTAGGACGGTTTCTCATTATCCTGCCTAAGTGACCATTTTAAGGCTTTAGATTTTCCCTTCTTTTTGGAAGTAAAACTAAAATCAATCTTAATTAAGGCATGAAGAGGCTTCTCACAGTTGCACAAAGCCAACTCATTGATCATGTTCAAATATAAATGGGGTGAGCAAGGCGGGGGCATGGTGGCCCTTACCCGGGGCCCCCAATAATCACTCCCCACTCAGGCGGCTGCCGGTGCTGAAGGGCCTTTAGAGGGGACAGCAGAGTCACAGAAGGACAAGGACTTTTAGGGCTCTTGGCTGCCAAGGCTCACAGTACGTACGTCATTATGAGCCAATAGCACCAAGGTTGGCCCCCAAACCGCCCTAAAGATAAGGCATGAACGGACTGAAGAACTCGGGCATTCTCCTACCCGCCCTGAGCCTCTCAAGGTCTCAGTCGGCTTCAACTACCCATGTTCCGTTCTTCCACTCCTCTCTCCTGGCCATCTGCTTAAACGCCGCCTCCGTGACCCCTGAGCACCGACCTGAAACTGTGATCACCCGCCCTCCCCCACTATGTTTGTGGGGTTTTGTCTCATTGTTACTACATCACCTTCTAACTGACTCTGCGGTTTACTTATTTGTTATCTTACTCCTCACTGCCTGTCTCCCACCAAAAAGGAGAGTGCAGGGCAGGGCTCCGTGCTGCTCAGCGGGGTACCAGCACCTGAGGACCGCGGGGTGTCACCTCTCCGCCTGGTGTCACCTTTCCGGGGTGTTGACAGGTGGTGCCTCCCTCCTCTTTCTTAGAGCTTGTGGATTCCCACCCGGGGGAGAGGGCTTCGTCCTGAATCCCTCACCAGCCTGGGCACTGGCTAACCGGCGTCAGACCTGCCTGCCTGCATCCCCCACGTGGCTCCGGGAGCAGGACCCTGGAGGGCTGGGAGGCGCCGGCCTGGGTGCTGCCGGGCACGAGGCAGGTGAGGGCAACACCCGGCTACGCGAGTGCTGTGTGTTTACCACTTACTACTCCGTGAACTATCTGAAGCAAATTCTAAATTCCAAACCGATTCCCCGGCACCTTCAACAACTATCAGATTCTTCTCCTGTGGCTCGGTGATATTTCCTCAAGAATGTACAAGAGGGGAGGCACCCCGGCCGGGGTGGAACCACGTGAGACATTCCAGTCTCCCGTTTTAGCTGGTCAGGGCTGTGCAACGCACGAGGCACTGGAGACCTTTGTATCTCCCCCTTCCCCCCCTCCCTTCCCCCCAGCCACCTTGTTGAAGACTCATCACCAACATCTTCCTGCCCCCAAGGACGTTTCCCCACCTCCCTGCGCTTCCTGGGCAGGCTGCTCAGCTTTGCCCCGGCCCCCAGCCCCCAACCCCCAGCCCCGAGCCCCGAGTGACAGCCTCTTACCTCATGAAGCCCAGGAACACCAGCAGGAACAGGCTGACAAGCCACCCAGCAGAGGCGAAGGCCTTGGGCATGGTGAGCGCGCCGGTGCCCACGATGAGGTTGAACATGTACACCAGTCCAACCTGGGACACAGAAGCCACAGTCAAGCCCAGGCATTAACTAACCTCTCCCCACAACGGCGCCCAAGGACGACCCAGGGGCAGCAAGACCACGGCGGCCAGGAGGCCCGCCTCCAGGCAGGGAGGCAGGGAAGGAGGAGCATTCCACCCAGGTGCTCACCAGGCCAGCCCTGCACCGGCATGTTGGGGACCAGACCCCAACACTTGGATGACTGAAGCCCCACATCCCATGGATCCTTTCCAATGTCTCCGATGATCAGTTTAAAAAAATATATATTTTATTGATTTTTTACAGAGAGGGAGGGAGAGGGATAGAGAGTTAGAAACATCGATGAGAGAGAAACATCAATCAGCTGCCTCCTGCACACCCTCTACTGGGGATGTGCCCGCAACCGAGGTACATGCCCTTGACCTGAATCGAACCTGGGACCCTTCAGTTCGCAGGCTGACACTCTATCTACTGAGCCAAACCAGTTAGGGCTGATCAGTTTTATGCTCCATTTTTGCCGCCACCGCCCCACCTCTTGTCATTTCATTCCTCAGAGCTGCGTCACAGATGTTAGCTCTTTGCCCAACCAGACCGTGGTCTTCCATTTTTCCTAGCTCACCAGGCACGGGGCCCAGGCCTCCTCTCCACCCATTCTGCCGTCGTCCTTCCGGACCCCGACAATCCTGCTGCTTCCCCTTCCCTGTCTTCCTCCCCACACGAACTTCAGGGATTTTTTTTAAAAGTTGAGATAGAATTCACATGCCATGAAATCCATCCCTTTAAAGCACACCGTTCAGTGTTTTCAGTAAATTCATGAGGTTGTGCAACCAGCATCACCATCTAATTCCACCTCATCCCCCCAAAAAGGAACCCTGCGCCCACCTGCAGCTGCTCCCCATTCCTGCTAGTCCCTGGCCACCAAGCTCAGTGCAATCGCAGGGTCACCGACTTCAGGGTTTAAACTCAACTCTAATGCCAACCCGACTCCAGCTCCGTTAATTACAATTATTCCGCACCCCTCGGGCCTGGCACACAGCCTCAAGACAGGAGTCCTCAGCGGGGCCGCAGGGCCCTCGCTCAGGTCCCCTCGGACACGAGGCTGACAGTTTCATTGGTCTGAAGCATCATTATCTTAATGTGATCTCATGGACAGAGCCCAGAAGGACTGGATCACCACACTACTGCCAGGTGACGCCCTGCTGGGAGCCCTGGCCCACGGGGACTTGCGAGAACCCGAGGGTGGCAGCCGGGTGAGAAACAGGACACACAGCCCACCTGGCCTTCCCAACAGGAAGTTCCCAGAGCTGGCTTTTCACAAGGAACTCTGGGTGTCCACCACACACTAACTTGTCCTTTTGTTGGCTGACTCCATCGCGCTGAGGCTGGTGTGTCCCAGTGCAGGAACGACTCCCCGGCTAGCTCAGTTCTGCTCATTCACTCGTCTAGTCAGCACCTTCCCAGAGCCTCCCATGGGCCTGGCTCTGTGCTGGGAGCTGGGGAGGACACTGAGGAAGACAGGCAGGACCTTGACCTCACGTGGGGGGAGAGGCAACAGGGGAACGGTGACGAGCGCCTCGCAGAAGTGCCCTGAAGGAAAGAAGCAGGGCGCAGGGCACCGTGACAAAGGATCATGGGAACACTCTAACTACAGGACACTCAGGAAGAGCTCGTGGTGACACTCAAGCCAGGACCTGAAGGATGAGAGGGAGCCGCCCAGGCACCGGGCCAGGGAAGAGCCTCCAGGTAGAGGCCTGAGGTGGGAAGGGAGGTACGGCCGAGGGGCTCTGAGGCAGGTCAGGCTGAAGCACAGCCAGGCAGTGGAACGGCGTGGGGCCCTGGTGCCCGTGACGGGGGTTCAACGTTTTGCAGGGTTTCTGGGCACTAACAGACCAGGCCCCGTCGATGACCTAACATTTGATCTCCCTGGAGCTTTGTTCTCTATCACTTTTATAAGCAACAACCCTTACCCTGGCCGGTGTGGTCCAGGTGGTTGGAGCCTTGTCCCCTACACCCTTCTGCAAGGCTCGTTATCCACTGAGCCAAGATCTTGCTCTCAGAGGGGATCAAGAACTGTTCTCCCAGGATGACGGGGTGAAGGAGACCTCAGCAAGAAGGCATGCTCGCTCCTCAGACCCTGACCACTAAGTCCTGGTAATGCCACCTCATCCTCAACACAGGCCCTCTCTCCCTACCAGTAGGATAAGAGAATACATGCAGTTGTTGATGGCAAATGCCCAGAGCAGGCCCTCAAAAACCCCCAAACACATAGGAAATGAAGGATAAAAACAGAAAAAAGCAGCCCGGCCGGTGTTGCTCAGTGGTTGAGTGTCATTCCATGCACCAAGAGGCCACCTGTTGATTCCTGGTCAGGGCACACGCCCAGGTTGTGGGTTCGATCCCCAGTAGGGAACGTGCAGGAGGCAACCACTGGATGTATGTTTCTCTCTCGTCGATGTTTCCATTTATGCCTCTCCCTTCCTCTTTCTCGAAAATTAATAAAAACATGTTCTTTAAAAAAAGCAGAACCCACTGAGGCGTTTAGGGTTCACTGCCCTGCTGCCTGTGGGCACACGCTGATACGTGAAATGATTACAGTTCAGCTGGAGGCACAAGAAAAGTGAGCATATCAGTTTTTTCCTTCCTCAAACTCAGTTGCAGAAATGAGTCAGTTCTAAGCTCTGATGTTCTGAGCAGCAGCAGGAACCCCAGGGACTTTGATGGACACTGTGGACCTCACCCTGCTGGTGCCAAAAGGAGGATGTGTGCTGTGACACAATTGCTCAGATCAGAGGGACGCGATTCAGTTCATCCCAAGTTCAAGAAAGACCCCCCCCGCACGTTGCTGACATAAAGAAGGCTCCTCCTGTGCTGCACACGGATGGCCCGTGCCCGGCAAGAAGGCCCTGCTGTGGAGGCCTTTCCAGCTGTTCTCAGAGGCCCCTCCTCGGCCATCACACCACAGCTGTAGAGGCTGGGACGCTAACGGGAGCAGGGCAGGCATCCCGGGCCGGGAAGGTCAGTGCAAAGCAGGGCGGCTGTTAAAGGCTAGGTAAGTTCTAGAAAGAGGACTCTCGCTGCTTAAGACGGTGCTGCTTTCCCTGGATACCTGGAAGCAACGTGAGTCAGTCCTTTGATTATTCCCTCCCTCCAGCTACTTATCCAGGCAAGAGCACTCCATGATGTAAACATGGCCAATCTTATATCACACCAAGGAGATAAACTGAGTGTGTGTGTGTGTGTGTGTGTGTGTGTTTGGGGGGGTGGGGGTGGGGGTAACACAATCCTAAGACGGAGAAATCAATCATTCCAGTTGTTCTAATCACAGACTCCACCAAACTGCAACTGAAGCGTCTGCGTGCTTCCTCTGCCTCTTACGCCATCCAAGGCTGCAAAAGTTGTGCAACTTAAAATTCAGCTAAAAACCCAAGGCGTTTCAAACTGCAGACGTGAGCAAAACCCAGGCAGCAGCTGTCAATCACTGTCCATTGGAAGGCAGGCAGCACAGTGTGGAGCGGGTAGCGGCCCTGAGGTACAGAGTTGGCAAGTCAATTTAGTTTTCTCCACCGCTCTCTGATCAACATGTAAAACGTGAACAAACCTGCCTTTGCTGGTTTGGCTCAATGGATAGAGCGGCAGCCTGCGGACAGAAGGGTCCTGGGTTGATTCTTATCAAGGGCACACGCCTGGGTTATGGGCTTGATCCCCAGTAGGGGGCGTGCATGCCAATCAATGATTCTCATCACTGATGTTTCTATTTCTCTCTCCCTCTATGAAATCAATGAAAATATATTTTTAAAAAAGTGAACAAACCTGAGTCTCATCACACTGAGCCACCAGGGCTGCTGCTGCTGGAGGTCCCCCACCCGGCTCTCCCCAGGGTCTAGGCACGCGGGGGAACGGGGCCAGTCCACTGCGAGCAGAGGGCTGCTCAGGAGCCAGGGGCAACTCATGTGGGCAAAACAGGTTCTAAAAGTAAAACTCACGTAGGGAGAATAGAGCTCCCCGGTCTCCGTGATTTCACCCGCCATTTCCAAAAGTGAGGAAGGGCGCGCCGGCGGGGCGGGGCGTTCTTCCTCGCGGGGGCGGCGGCTGCTGCGGCTCCCTAAGGCAAAGAGCAGACGTCAGCGTGCGGACCGGCCTCGACCGAGGTGGCGGCAGGTCTGCAGGCGCCCCCCGCGCCCCGGTCCTTTATCACAGACGCTCACGGTGTCCACGTCTGTGACAAGGCGGCCGGGGGGAGGTCTCCCGGGATGACGCCCACCTGGCTGGAGTTTCCTTGCCGCTCGGACCTCGAGTCATATAAGAGGCCTTGGGAGCCACGAAGCCTCGGGCACCACAAGCGCCCCCTTGCCACACTCTGGGACGCTTGCTCCCCGTTGAATGCAGGGACAGCGAGCTCACTACCGCACAGGGCAGCCCAAGTCACTGTCCGCCTCTCCGCCTAGGACAAGGGGCCGGGGGCTTTCCCAGGTCGCCCTCCAACCCAACTTCTTGCCCCCAAAGCCTCGCCTTTTTAATGGGACCTCCACTTCCTGAACCCCTAACCGGCTTTCTGCCCTCCCCGCCGTAAGGCTCCCCACTCTCAAGCCTCCCCCTCTTCTCAAGAGCCCCCGTTCCGAGCCTTTCCCCGACTTCTCCCTCCCTCCAGAGAGAACCCGGAACCTGCGCCGCCCCAGCCCACCCGCCGTCGCGCGCGGCCCCTTACCTGCAGCGAGGCGCGCCCCGGGCCGCCGCGGCCGCCGCCTCCAGCCCCCGGGCAGCTGCCGGCGCCAGCTGTCCCGCACCAGCGCCCTCAGCGCGCATGCGCCGGCGCCGGGCGCCCACCTGGTCGGCGCGCGCCTCGGGCGGGGTGCGGCGCGCTGATTGGGCGCCTCGTGGGGGCGGGACCGGGATTGGGCCCCGGCGGCTGCCGTCTGCGTGGCGGAAGTGGGCGGGGTGTGCGCCCAGCGTGAGCGGGAGGGGCGCCCGGCGGCCGGGTGGGGAAGCGGGGCTAGTTGCAAGAGGCGGCTCCCGGGTTCTTCTAGGGACGCCTTCGTCCGAGGGAAGTGGGTGTGAACTTGGCCGCCCAGGGACCCCGGTGGCTGGGGTCCGGGGTGAGGGTACAGGGGAGCAGCCTGTAGCCCCGCACATCCGGGAGGGGGCTGAGAACGTGAGCTCCCCTACCCTGACGTGGCCTGGGGACCTGGCGTGGGAAGTGGGAGACGGAGGCCGGAGGCCAGTGGGGTGATGGGAAGGAGGTTTAAGGGCCGGGCTGGGGCGGGGTCTCAGGACTGGGCTAGCGATGGGAGCTTTGGGTTGGAGGCTTCGAAGTTCTGGGAGGTGGGGCGGGAGGAACCCGCCGGAATGGCAGTTCAGTCTTGGCTCTTGAAGGCGCGAGTAAGGATGTCTCACCACCTGTAGCCAAACCGGCCGCCTTTCTCGCAAGGGGTTTAGGGCCCCTGTTCTCTGCAGTCTTTCGAAGGGAAGGCTCTCCTGACACCTCGGCCCCAGGAGGCATTTAGCGAGTTGAGAGCCTGGACTCCCACCCTACGTGGGAGGAAACTCAGGGTCCTGAAGGCCGTGCGCTCCCCACCCTCAGGCTGCGACCATGAGGTTAAACCAGAACGTCTCGCTCCTGGGGAAGAAGGTGGTGCTGGTACCCTACACCGCAGAGCATGTGCCCAGGTAACCGTGCCACCTGACATGGGTGCAAGGCGGCTCTCCGAGGCGCAGCCCAAATGTCAGAGGCTCTTTCCTCGGAGGAGAAGCATGGGTGTGAGAAGTGATTACGTGCAGGAAAAAGTGAACAGTGAAGCAGAGGACTCACTTCCCTGGAAGAGGTCACCCATCCCCGCTGTTCCCTTTCACCCTCTCAGCAAGGAATTAGTTAATGTTCACTAAATGCAAGGAAAAAATTGCCTTCTCACCTGATTGTGAAGTAGCGACATTCCTTTGGTGCCAGTGAATTTTCTGTTCGTGGAGACTTCAGCTTGTCATAAACTGAGCTGGGGGGTGGGGGGTGGTTTGATGTCTCCTGTTTTGAAAGGCGGGGACTGAGTTGCAGGGTGGGACTCTGGGGGGTAGTTGGCAAAGTCTGGTAGACTGGAATGGTGGTGGTGTAGGGGTGTGGTCTCTACTTGTAGTTTTCTGTTTGGGGTTTCCTTGTGGAGCTCTGTCCAGCCTTCTTTGCAGCGGTCAGCTTGCCATATTCTTTCCCTCAGGAATTCGAGGAATGTTTGGCTTTATACCACTCCCCCACACTGACCCCAGAGACAGGATGGGAAACTGGACAGACAGAACTGACCCCTCCTGCTGTTCTCTTGTGGGTCTAGCCTGCCTCTAGGTCTTGTGCCTGTGGCTCTCTGCCTTAGGAGCAACTATAACCCTTTTCTTGGGTCTTCTCTGCGCCCTTGAGTTAGCCTTCTGGGGTTCTCCTTTCTACCACCTGTTTCTTCATCTCAGTGTCAGGCCCAATGCCCCTGGATCAGTCCTGCCTGCTGAAGGCCGCCCCTCTGGCCCTGCAGGTACCACGAGTGGATGAAATCAGAGGAGCTGCAGCGTTTGACGGCCTCTGAGCCGCTGACCCTGGAGCAGGAGTATGTGATGCAGCGCAGCTGGCGGGAAGATGCGGACAGTGAGGAGTGCGACCCTGGGCTGGGCTGGGCTGGGCTGGCAGTGGGGGGGCCGACGCCAGAGGCAGCCTCCAGGGTCCCTCCCATTCTTCCCAGCTGTAGCCCTTCTGAGGCACAGACACCCGTGAAAAGCCTGAGAGGTGCTTGCAACCCTCACACTCTGGTGCCCGCTGAAGCTGGTCCCTGTGGCAGACACTTTTGTCCTCTCCCCCACTCCCTGGGCCCGGCTGGAAGGATTTAAAGGAAGTATTTTGGGCTGTGGTTGTAATTGAGGGCCTGCCCCTCACATCCTTAGCTGCAAGCCCAGTGTGGTTCCTGCTCTTCTTTGAGCCCCCTGCAGTCTGAAAATACACTTGCTGCTTGGAGAAGGCCATCATTTCCTGCAAGAGGCAGATTGAGGGCTTTTTAATCAGCCGCAGGAAGCTCTGGCCCCCCTTCTCCTGCCAGACTCGGGGACGCTGCTAGTGCTCTGGCTCGGGTAGGAAGACTGGCCTCACTGGGCGTGTAGATGTTAACCCTGCGGCCTCCCTCCGTAGAGTGTACCTTCATTGTGCTGGACGCAGCGAAGTGGCTGGCCCAGCCAGGCACCACCGAAGAGAGCTGCATGGCGGGGGATGTGAACCTCTTCCTCACAGATCTAGGGGACCCCTCCTTGGGGGAGATCGAGGTCATGATTGCAGGTTCGTTTCCTCCCTCCTGGGCCTTGGATCTGCTGAACCTTAAGGCGGCCGAGGCTGCATAGGGACCTCCAGGGGCTCAATGGGAGGCTCTGGCATTGGGGAGCCCAGCACCTGGCTGGGGCAGACTGCCACTTGGCACCCTGTTAGCCTGCAGGTCACTCTGTTCCTGTCTTATGCGTGGGTGTGAACTCAGCCTTTGGATTTAGGGTCTTCGAACTTTACTCTGCCCTATTTTGGGGGTGGTCTGGGGGATCCTCTAAAATAGTTGATCTTCCCTGGAGCATCTTCCCAGGCTGTGGGAGGAGCCCCTCCAGTTTCTGTGTCCTTCTTGGTCCTTAGCCTTCTCCTAAGAGGCTGTACGACTCCTCATAAGGCAGCATGTTGAGGTTAAAGAGTCAGCTTTTGGGGTCAGGTTGCTGGGTGTCTCCACACCGAGACCTTGGGCTAGTCATTTCCCTTCTGGGTGCCTCTGTCCCTCATCTGCAGAATGGTAATTATATTTACAGACTTGGTAGAATTGTGAGGATTAAGTGAGATCGCATGTGTTGTGCCTGCCCGGGAGCCTGGCACATGGTGTCCATGATTGTCGTTTTCTCCTAGAGCCCAGCTGCAGGGGCAAGGGCTTTGGCACCGAGGCCGCGCTCATGATGATGTCCTATGGTAAGGAAGTCAGAGCAGACAGTGTGGGGAGAGCTGGCCAGGCCCCAGGTGAGGGTAGCGCAGGTTGGGAGTGAGCCTTCTTCAGGTCTGAGGGTGCAGGCGGGGCAGTGGGGAAGACGGGAGACAGGTGCCTGCACTGCACACTGGGACAGGGCGGGGGGCGGGTGGGGCAGCGGGTGTTGGAGAGACCTTCCTCCTGCAGCTTGTCCCTTTCTCATCTCCTCTGGGAGGAGTGACCAAGCTAGGTCTGACCAAGTTTGAGGCTAAAATTGGGCAAGGAAATGAACCGAGCATCCGGATGTTCCAGAAACTTCACTTTGAGCAGGTAAGGATGAGGCTGGCCGGAGGTGAAGCCTGGCTCTGGGTGGTGGGGCCCGCTGGTGCTAGCACCTGTGGCTGCAGCTTAGCCACCCCTGATCTCTGGCTGTCCTAGGTGGCCGTGAGCAGCGTCTTCCAGGAGGTGACACTCAGACTGACGATGAGTGAGCCGGAGCAGCAGTGGCTTCTGGAGCAGACCAGCCACGTGGAAGAGAGGCCCTATAGAGATGGGTCCTAGGAGCCCGGCTGAGAGCCCTGCACCAGGAAGTGAACGGACCGGGCCAACCCTCTCCAGGCTGGGCTCTCCTTTCAGGGCCTTCACACGCGGGGCAGGACTTTGCCTTGGCCTCCCCCAGGCTGACAGTGGGGCTGAGCGACTCCAGGGAGCCCCTCCTCCCGGCCAAACCTGACTTAGACTCTGAGAACCTGGGGTGGACGGCATGAATCCATCAGTAGAGGCAGAGCTGGAGACGATGGGGGGGGGGGGGAGCTGGTGAACAGGCCGGACTTCCCTTTTCCTGGAAGGCCAGCGGCGCCACTCGGGCTGAGGCCCTGGCTCTAGTAAAGTGCACTGCACAGCCAGCTTTCCGTTCCTCACTGCCCGTAGCCTGTGTGGAGGTGAGCTGCCAGGAGGCCACCTGCAGCTTGTCCCGTCCAGCGTGGGAGCAACAGGACAGCTCAGTCCTGTCATCCTATGGAAGCAGGCTGGCTGGGTGTGGCCCTGAGAGGTTAGGAAACGAATGAGGGTGGCCCTGTTGGACAGGAGGCTTGGACAGTGGGCGAAAATCCTTGCTCCCCCTTTCTTCTTTGGAGCCAGTTTTGAGTAAATTAGTTTTGGATCCAGCTCCTTGTGGCTGGACAGCACCCCTCTGCTGAGTTTGAGGCCTCCTGTGCCCTGCCCTCCACTCCATCCCTCCACCTCCGGGAGCTGCTGCACCTGTCAAGGCCACAAGGGGGCGCCAGAGGTACCGGTTCGGGATGGCATGGATGCCTGGCAACCTGTGCTTAGCAGAGCTGGGCCAGGTCTGGCCACCTCAGAGCAGGGAGGACGCCCATTGACTTCTAACTGCTCAGGCCCTCCCTGGCATCATCTGCAGTGGCGTCAAGGAAAGCCAGTCAGGTTTCAAAACAGTCGTGGAAGAGACTCTGGGGGACACCTGGGGCATTTTCAAGGGTAAGAAACAGCCCCAGGTGAGTTCGGGCGACTTGCCTAAGGCCTGAGCTTTGACAGCAGAGCCCGAACTAACGCTGAAGCCTCCCAGTCCCCTTGATCCTGTAAAAATAGAATCTAAAACACACCTGAAACCAAGATAGAAACTCCACTTGCTGGGGCCCCCTTTATACCAGGCCTCCAGCCCCACTTCACTAGTTCCCTGTGAGCCACCTGTCTTCCGCTCAACTAGTCAAAGGTCCCTAGGGTTCCCCACCCAGTAAGTGACCTAGCGGGGAAGTCCTTGGGCCTGCTCACCCGTGGAGTCTCCATCAGGGGTCAAAGCGTAGAGCGAGGGTGGGGTGGGGGCAGGCCAGGCCAGCTGAGCAGGGCCTGGGGCGATGGGTGTGAAAGGATTTTGGCCCTAAACCCAAACAAGAGGCCAAGTGGCCAGAGAGTGACTAGCTCTTCTCTCCACAGGCCCCCTCCCTGGTTCAAGGTCTCCCTGTTCTCCTCAGTCCCAGGAGCCTGGCTTCGGAGGTTTCCTGGTTGGGTGGAGAGTTGCCTGGGGCCAACTGCCTTCCTTCTCTGAGCACCTGCCCTGGAAGCTCCTGGCCCGGCAGCCTCAGCTCTCAGGCCACCTGGCAGACCTCCAGGATGAGGCTGCCAGAGCCAGAGACGTAAAGGACCTGGGTCTCCTGTGGTGGAACAGGGCACTTCGCCCTTGGCAAGTCCGCGCACCCACCTGCCACATGGCATATCCTGGGGCCCGGGGAGGGCGTTTGTTTTCGCCTAGGCCTGGGAACTGCCCTCCAACCCGGGCCAGGGCCAGATAAGAGCGTATTTGGCGCCAGCTCAGGCCACTCCTGGGAATCCTGCACCCCATGGGCTGAGGGCGGGAGGATTAAAGGCAAGCTTTCACTTTCCCAGTCAGGCCCCAGCGGGTTCACACCCCAAAGCTCCTGGACTTAGGAAGGCTCGGCCCTCAGCATGTGCTCTGGGCCCCTAGTTCCTGGTACGAACATGCCTGTGCAAGTTGACCACCAGGGGAAGCGCCTGGAACTGGTGGGTGGGGCCAGCGGACAGTTATAGACAGGCCCAGGGCCCTCCCGCTCCCAGGCCTGGGGTGCCCTCCCCTCCCAGCCAGAGGCCACCCTGGGAACACAGGTTTGCCACCTCTCAAGGCCGGGAGGACAGAGTTCTAAAGGAAGACACAGAGGCTGAGGAGGTTTGGAGAAACCAGTTGAATTTCTGGTGGAGTTTCCTTACAATGGTGGTGCCTGGCTCAGGGCTGGCCAGGGAGTGGCCAAACCCTCCCCCACCTGCCAGGGTTTCTGTGGTGGGAGTAGAAACAAGAAAGTCTAAGGCTGAGGCCGCTGCTATGTCTTGCATGCAGCAACCTGGAAAATCATGTTAATCAGGAGACAAAAATCCCTCTACTCTGAACTCAAAAAAAAAAAAAAAATCCAACGAACAAAAATAAGATACTCAACCCACAGCGCTTGAAATGCTGTGGCCGCTGCAATCCCGGTCCTTGATCAATCAACAGTTCTCTAGAAGAATCACATTTGCCAAGAGGGGGCTGCTGGTGCTGATTTGTTTGCCATTCAGGGGGTCAGTGGGGAGGAGGGGGGGGTTGGGTGGGATGGGGGCCCAGCCCTTCCAGCTTGCTGGGTGGTGCGAGGAGGCGCTCAGAGATTGCTGAAGAGTTCGTTTTTCTTGCTCCAGTCCATCTGCGGGGCCCGTTTGTTGCTGCGCTTCTGGTGGGCCCTCTCTTTGGCCACGGCCAGGGAGATGTTGAAGTCTGGGATGGGGTCGGAGGAGGAGGTAGATGAGGGTGCTGCGGAGTCCTGCTTCTTGGGACTGTCTTGGGAGTTCAGCTGAAAGAGCAGGGGGAGGCAGAGCGGGAGTCAGTGCCGGGCGAGGCGTCCTGGTCCTCAGCCTTGGAGGTAGCTCCTTGGGGCAGTGCCCAGGGAAGCCAGGTCACAAGAACAGAACGTGGCTCAGCATGTGACCCCGAGGCAGGCTGGTGTGCCAGGCACGAGTGTGGCCTGAGAACGGGGTGCCACTAACCCAGTGCCACCCCTGCCCACCCGCCGGCCTACCTCCTCGCTGGTATCACTGGAGGTGGACCGTGCCAGGGCTGGCCTGGGGTTCTCGGAGGCCACCTCGGCCAGGGTTTCATAACTGTTCTCCTGGCAGAGAGAGGACAGGTATGGGTTGGCGGGGAGTGGGTTGGGGAAGTCCCGAGCGGGAGAGGGAGATTCCAGGGACGACAGGTGCCTTGTCTGAGAACCTCCACTTGGGCCCTTGCCATCTACCCGAGCCCAGGGCCTGAGCCTGCCGCGGCCCTCAGGGGACTTCCATTGTTACGTTCCTCCCAGGACCTGAGGGGAACCTGGGTGCAGGCTGGAGGACCCTTTGGGGATTAGCTGAACTGCCCGTTCCCAGTCCTCCCAGTGAGGCCTTCAGGACGGCCTTGCCTTTTGGGCCAGTGACCAAGGAGAGGTTCCTGGGGCGTGGGGACACTGGGGGCCGACTTGGCGTGGGAAACCCCTGTGATGTTCCCTGAATCTCCTGTTGCCACCTAATTACTTGGACTTGACCCAGGAATCTTAAAACTAACCCCAAAGCAGCTAAAAAGGGCTTAGGAGTGAGGAGTAAGGTACATGAGATTCTGCACCCCAAATAGAGTGACAGGTGGTCCGGGGACGCCCCCTGCTGTGTCCCCCAACAGGAGGCCCTGGGCAGGGGAGACTGAGCAGACCGTGCAGAGAGCCTCGCTCCATGGTCAGTCTACCCCAGAGTGAAGGCCTTGGCCAGGCCTTCAGCTTGGCGCTCAGCCCCTGCCTGGGTTCCTGGGGCCAGGCTGGCGCCGGGCCCTGCCATCTCAGCTCTGGCCTCCACTGCCTTCCCTTCCCTTCTGCCTGGAAGAAGGAGGGGCGGGGGGCTTTGTTCTTCCAACCCAGACTGGAAGTAGCCGGGCAGCAGGCGGCCAGACACTGCTGCTCTGTTCTTGGGGGGAAGAATGGCCTCTTCTGTGTGGGGGACTTGGAGGCAGGGCTTGTTACCAGGATGGCGGGGTGCAGAGGGGCGTGCCAGGTCTCTCCTTGGTCCCAGGCAGGGGTCGAGGGCACACCGGTAGGTATATAGTGTGGACTCAGGAGGGAGTAGCTCGGAAATGAGTTTCCATCGGGGCCAGCTGGCTGTCCTCCCAACCACACCCCCTTCCACCCTCCTCCCGCAGCCCCCAGACTAGGAGCCAGAGAAGCAGTTAGGGGTTCACCTTTACCTTCTGGATCTCCCCATTGGTAAAGGGCTCAGGCAAGGGACCTAATGAAGGGAAAAAGCAGAGGTGAGTCCAGAAGCTCTGGGCACACGGGCGGGTGGAGCGTGGAGGAGGGAGAGGTGTGGGGCTGGGAGAGATCTCGTTCCCTAGTCAGTGTCCTGGCTGCACCCCACTGTAAGCGCGGCTGCCACTCTGATGGCCCGGCACACACACTGTGCGTGAGTGTAACAAGTTTCATAGCACAACCTGCTCTGACCGTACCCCGCCTTCCCTCGCGGCCTCACAAAGCTCACGGACGGTTTCTACTCGCTTTCCTGAGAAAGAGTGTGCTGGTCGCTGCCTACTAACCCAATCGCACGAGCCCCTGATGCAACATCAGCTGCTTGAGCCAAGCCCTGTCCCGGATGGGGCTGAGAGGGCCGGCCGCCCGTCTAAGAATCACCAGGGAAACGGGTTAGGAGCACAGATTCCTGGGCCCTGGCACCGGAGCCTCTGGTCCAGTGGGGCTGAAGCGGCCCAGGAATCTGAATGTTCCAAAGGCTTCCTAGGAGACGGAACTAGAACCACACCCAGCTGCCCCTGCCTCTACTGGCCAGTGTGGAGAGAGGACAGGAGGGCTCAGGGCAGTGTCCCAGCCAATGGGAACAGGGAGGTGGCCGGAGGGGTCAGAGGGAGAGGACGCTGCCTGGGGTCACCCTCACTGGGCTCATCTGGCCAGAGGCCCCACGTGGCTGCAAGGGGAGCTGCTCCATCTCTGGGGACTAGTCAGCCTGGGCGGATTTCTTCTGAACTTAGCTTAACATTGTGTATGTCCTCTCCCCCCGACCCTGGACCCCAGTCTGGGCAGCCAGGCATACCTGCCTCTCACCTTTCCTCCCTTACAACACCCTCGGCCTTCCCACAGTGGCCGGCAGGGGACTGTTAGGACATGGGGACGCTCACTCCCACTGCCCCCAGGCTGAATGGGGAGGTGACATCATTCTGGAGAGACCAGGAGGGACACTGGGGAGACCTGTCCCAGGGCCTCTCCCAGTGCAGGTCCTCTGGGAAGGGCTGCAGTCACCCTGTTCTCAGGCCCCCCCCCCCCCCCCCCCCCCCCCCCCAGCCAGGCAGGGAGGGAGGGAGGTGTGGGCTGGTGCCCTGGCGCTGAGGGGAGAAGGTGCTGGAGGAGGCTGGGAAGGAATCTGAGGAGCTGGGAGGAACCCAGACCTCTGCTGTGTCTCCTTCAGGCCATGTCCCCAAGAGCCAGGCTGGGGCTTCTCTGGGCCTCAGTTTCCCCTCACTGAGACAGGGGGAGGTGGCATCCCACCTCCCATGCAGAGTCTGCTAGGGATTTCCAACTAACCCCCAACTCTAGCACCCCTAGCACCCTAGATTGAGCTTGATAGGATGGGGCCTTCCCAGTCGGCCCCTCCAGCCAGGGATCCAAGCCTATGTCATGTCCTTCATGTGGAACCCCCCTTACAAACAGAACCCTGACACCTTCAGGGAGGGGCCGCCCATTGCAAAGACCAAAGAGGTTCTATCCCTGACCCGCCCCCCGCGCCCCCCCCCCCCCCCCCCAGCCATCTTCCCAGGGAGAAAATGCAGACCAGGGAGCAGAGCGCTGCTTAACTCCTCCCTGCCCCCACTTAGCTTGGGCTCCATCAAGGGGCCGTGCCAGGCTTGGCAGGGTGACCGTGGGGGGTGGGGAAGACAGGGGCCCAGGGACCAAGGGGGGACCCACTGCTCTCTCCAGCCAGCAAGCCTGGGTTTCCAAGACAACCTGAGAGAAGGGAGGGGGAGGCACTGGGCCCCTGTCACTGGACTCTGATCTGACCAGGCGGCAGCCCCAGAGTTAACCCTTTCCTGGTGTAGCCCTGCCCTGAGAACGTGGTGGGGTGAGGGGCTGGGTTTCCTTTAGTGCTGTGCTCTGGCCCACCTCACCATCCCTTGTGCCCGCTTACCTGTCACATGCCGTCCTCAGAAACCCAAGGCCCATCCCTGCTTCCTGCTGATACTAGCTCAGCCCCCCTCCCTCCCCACCCACACCCCTTGGCCTTCCCGGAAGGAGAGGGAGGGAGCATGGCAGCAGGAAGCTGTCAGCCCTCACCTGGGACCCAGTCACGCCCAGAACTCTGGCCAACATCCCTGCCTTGGGGGCCTCCAGCCACCCCGCCCAGCTTACCATGCAGGTGCTCGTGAGACGGGATCACTTTGCATTTCTTGAAGAACTCATCGGTCTCCTTGTCCACCACCAGCAGCTTGGTCTCCTCGCCGCCAGCCTTGATGGCAGACACCACATCCCCGTGCTGCTTGCCCTCCATGCAGACGCCGTTCACCTGTGGGCGGGGCGTGGTTACCAGCACAGTTCTCGGTTCTGGGGGCGTCGGGCGAGGAGGCACAAGTGGTCCTCTTCGTCCTCAGCCAGTTGGCAATCCAGGGACACGGAGCCCCCCTTGCCCAGAGTCCTGAACGAGGCAAGGGGTCCTCCCACTTGATAGTCAGATGGGAGGCAGGACACATGGGAAAAGCCAAGGAAAATATCCGGGGGAGACTAAGCAAACAGCTGGGAAGACGGACGGGCAAGGCCTGGAGCCTGGGTGGGTCCCAGCTTCCCTGTGGACCTGCCTCGGCCTCCCGCCCCGGCCCTGGCTTGCTCAGTGTAAAATGAGAACCTCTACGGTTCGGAGACTGAGATTCTGGGACCTGCCCAAGGCCTTGGCTCGCGTTTCCTCTCTGCCCAACAGCCTCACTTGGGAGAGGACTTCACCCTCGCACTCCATCCCTGCGCCTGGCGAGGAGGACGCAGGAAGCTCTGGGGGTGGCCCCGGATGTCGACCTGGATCGATGGGTGAATCATGAACTGCCAAGTGTGTCTGCTCAGTGAAGAGGCTCCCAGGGGAGGCAGGGAGGAAACCAGTCCTTTGCCTACCCACCATCTTTCCTTCCCTCCTGCTGGCCCACCATCCCTCCCGCCGGCATCTACGCATCAGGGGCTAACCAAGGAGCTGCTGCTGTGATGGCTGCCCCAGGAGCTGGCTGTCTCTGTGGGGAGGAGCCTGGGGAGAAGGCGAGAGGCATTACCTCCACGATACGGTCCTGGGCCTGGAGCCCCGAGGCCTCGGCGGGGGAGTCTGGGTCCACTGACCGGATGAACTGGCCTGGCTTGGTCTTGTCGCTGTGCAGGTTGAAGCCGTAGCCGTTGGGACCCCTCTTCATGGCGCAGAGCCGAGGCCGAAGCTCACGCTGTGGGGACAAAGCACAGTCCGTGTCGTTCTAGTGTCCTGGGCCCCACTCTCCCTGCCTGTGCCCGGCGCCAGCTCCCACCAGGAAGATCTGATAACAGGCAAATCTGCTGAGATCCAACTGCACCGGGGAGAACGCTGGCTGGGGCTCCCAACACTGCGTGAAGACCCCGTGTTGCAGCAAAATGCTTGGGTGACCCTGGGCAATAAGGCTCCTCTCCAAGCCTCAGTTTCCTGTTCTGCAAATGAGAAGTGGGGACAGAGTAGCTCAAGTCCCTCCCCTTTTGACATTCTATGGTTAATAATTTTGATTGATACCTTGTCCCTCCTACCAACGGCTCAGCTGGCCCTCCTGGGGGGTGACAGGTGGGTACCTGACATGGGGTGGGGAACCCTGGCCTCTGTATAAGATGTGAGAGCCGTTTCAGTGCAAGAGATCTGCCTGTGCCTTCACAGGTGGCGCTGGCCAGGCCACGGCCGCAGCCACAAGGGGTTCCTTCAGCCCAGCCCTGCTATTCAGGGCCCCTTCCCCATCCAGGCTCCTGTCTGCAGAGGGAGGCAGGCCCGGTGTTTACTGAAAGCTGGGCAGCGTGTTTACAGTAAAGCCGTTCCTCACGCAGGCTCCTGTCTCTCCCCTGCCAAGCCGAGTGGCCGATGACCACAGATCAGGGGGATGCACAGTTGGGGGTCCTGGACAGGACAAGAACCCCACCGGTGGAGCCAAGACCGGTCTAGCAGAGAATACCAGAGGCTCAGAGATCCTGCTGGTCCCCAAGTAGCACACAGACACCCAGCTGGGACCATCCCGCCATCCTCGGGCCGCCTTAGGCAGCTGAGCTCGCGGCTGCAGCCCAGAAGGCGTGTACATGATGCAGGGAATCGGGTGTGAGTGGGCAGGACACTGCAGCCTGAGCACCAGGGCTGACTTGGGGTCCCTCTCCCCCTACTCCCAGGCCTGGGGCAGGGCACAGCAGCCAGCCTATGAGCTCTGGGTTGCCCCTGGACACCAGGCCACAAGCAATGGCTGAAGTCAAGGCCCTGGCCCAGGTTCCAGCTGCCCCACTGTGTGACCTGAGGCAGCGATTTCCTTCTCAGAGCCCCAGTTTCCTGAGGCTCTTAACATACAAGCGGACACCCCACAAGCGTACAGTCCCTGAGCGGAGTACTTTCCCACTGTTGTGAACACTCACAAACAGTCAAATGAAAGTGAGAAGTGAGACTCTGGGGCTCAGGGGTGGGTCCAGGTTGCTCTGAAACCCCAGTCGCAGCTGGGAGTGGAGGTGAGGAGGGTTCACAGCCCACCTGTCTCTACTGCTGGCCCAGGAGGCAGCGCCATCAGTCCCCACCCCTCACTCTCAGGGTGACTTTGCCTCCGTTAAGTGCTGGGGCGGATCTTTCTGTGCTTCAGGATGTTGGTGGGGGGTGTGAACAGGCCAAGACAGGAAGGAGGGCTGACAGTTGGGCCTGCGGGTACCCTAATCTGGGCTAGAGGCCCAGGCCCCCCTTTCTCTGAGTTCTCATTCCTTCCCATTCCTCGTGGCAGGGCCTCACCAGCATGCCCAGTTGATGCCTGCTTATCCGGCCAGCACAGCCCTCTGGGATCTGGGATCTCGTTCCCGTTCCGGGTGTAAGACAAACTCTTCTCCCCTCAAGCTAATCCCTCCGCAAAGCTGTCGGCCGCCCTCCCCCAGGCGAGGTGAGCAGAACAGGTCTGACCAGCTGCCGCCACCTGGGCAGGCTCAGCTTTCGGCCCAGCCAGGCTCAGCTCCACCACAGCCCCGAGAACGTGGGGAGGGAGGGGCAGCTCCCATGTCTGCCTCTCCCCACCTGCCCTCACTCCAAAGAGCCTTCCCAGAGCAACCTGGCCCAGGCTGGTCACCCCCAGCTTCAAGATGGGGAAACTGAGACTCGAGATGCCATGCCCACTGCCTGACGTCACACACGGCGTTACAGGGGAGGAGCCCGAACCCCAAGCCTGTCTCTGACTTGGAGCCCGTGTTCCTCCCACCATCTGTGGGCTGGCACCTGAAGACCCAAGTTCAGACTGGGAGGTGCGCACCGCCCCCCAGCCCCCACCCCGGAGCTGGGGCCTCAGCAGGGTCACAAGCACTGGAGTCCTCTCCCCGAGGTGCCTGCAGCCTCTGCGGGGAGGGGCCTGGGAGCTGATGAAACCACAGCCTTCCTTCCGGGTGCGCGAAAGGTTCTTGCAGCCAGAGCTAAGCCTGAGCTTGGGATAGGCGATGACGGGGACAGTGAGCAGCCTGGGCTGGGCCTGGGCGGGGAAGGGGGCAGCGTGGGTGCTCTCCAGGTTGGCACAGCTGCACTGCTGCCCGGGGCTCTGTGTCTCGGGCTCCCCTTAACTGAGCCTTGCTGGTGACCTGTCCTTAAAGCTGGAGGCCACACTGAGCCACGAGGATGGAAGAAATAAGGGACCCAGCTAGAGAGGCTCATTGCCCTCTGGGCAGGCAGACAGGAAACCCCTTCTGAAGTGTTGGACACCCACAGAGCCCCATCCTGCACCCGCCTTCCCAGGTCCCCAGAGGCTCCTTCCTTCCCAGGGCCAGCTGCAGGCTTGCATTCCTCCCAGAGACCAGCTTGTTTCTCCCCGCCCCCCTCCCCTCCCCGCTGTCTCCAGGAGGTGTCAGCGCCAGCTGCTGAGTCAGCCCAGCCCATCCTGGGTGGAGGCTGGTGCTGACAGGAGTCCCTGGGGGCAGCCTCCCTGGGGGTCGTGGGGCTGGTCCAGTCCTGAGAAGAGAAGATGGGAGGGGCCAGCTGCCCGGAGCTTGGCCACCGTGGGTCCTGGGTTAGAGCTGGGCAGGGCCTGGGGAGAGGGGGAAATGGCAAGTCCAAGCCATCCCCGGCCTGCAGTGTGGCCCCAGGGGCTCGGGGGGGAGCCTTGTGCTGGTGCTTGAGGGGCGCAGAGCCGGGCTGGGGGTCACTACAAGGGAAACATGGTCTCAGGGTGTTCAGAGCCTCAGGGAGCACAGCTCAGAAGTAAAAATCAGGATCTGCTCAGTGAGGAGACTGGCAGAGATCCGCAAGCGAGAGGAAGGAACGTGAGGCAATGGTGGCCAGTGGGCAGTGCAAACGGGCTGGGGCGGCATGAGTCTGAGTCACTTCCAGAAAACGCCAGATCCACTTTCTGGAAAAGACCCTGCTAGGAGACCTGCCTCCAGACTCATGGCACCACCAGGTTCTCGGGCTGCTCCAAATTCTGTCCCAGGCCTGCCTCCTCTCTCCCAGGGAGCCCAGCCCCACCCCAAGTGGCCGCCCAGTCACCTCCACCCCCGCAGCCCAGGGAGCGGATGGCGGGCACGGAATTCAATAGGCACCACCAGCAGCCACCTGGAAAGCCGGGGAAAGTCGATACCCTAATCCCAGTGACTGTCTCTGGGGATCAGGCCCAGGGGAGGATGGCTGGGGGGCCAACGCCCCGCTGGGCCTGGCCCCTCCCTGGCCGGTGCCATGGTGAAGAGCCCATCTAGAACAGCCAGGCAGCTTCCTGCAAGGGGCGGGCTGCAGGAGGGGAGACTACCAGGTGGCTAGGGGGAACAATAGAGGTGACCCTCATCTCCCAGGGCTGCCCATCCCCCCACCCCCGCCCCAGCCCCACCCAGCCCAGGGCTCCTGTTTATGCACTTAAGAATGGTGCCCAGCTGCCTCCCACAGAGAAACGAGCCCCAGCCAACAGGGCAGGGGAAGGGCCTGGCTGTCCTGGTGGGCAGGCAGAGGGAGTGCTGGGCTAAGGAACCCTGGCTGCTCAGGGAGCAGCTCAGTGCTCTCAAGGAAGCCAGGTTGGAGAGCTGGCCCTGCCTGGGGTGACGCGTGACGGGGAGCATGCGGGCACTGTCCTTACGGCAGGCCGGGAAGTGACCAGGACCCAGACTACTGGCCAGTGTCCACAGCTCTAGGCTCATGGATCCTCTCCTCACCCCGGGGGAGGTAGAGGCTTGGCTGCCACTGACTCATGCCCTGAAGTGGCTCCACTTCACCCCACAGGACCTCCCGTCTAAGGAATGTTAGACACCTCCATTCGCAAAAAGCGAGCTGCTTCTAGCCCTTGACCCTGAACTTCCTGCTGTTTCTCTGTGGAGAGGCACTTTTCTGGAGCCCAGCAGGGTGGGATCGAGGAGGGAGACATAAGCTTAAGTGGCGGCCACTTCTTCAACAGCCCCCAGTAGGGGCCCTGAGCCAGATCCCCCTCCGGCTCTTTCCTCCCACTGCTGTCCAGCGACCCATCTGAGGGAGAGGCTGGCTCAGGTCTCCCCAGGGCTGGGCAAGTCTGGGATGGAGCAGGCTGGTACGTGGGCTGCTGCCTGGCTGGCCACCTTCCAGGCTGGCCACCCCATGCCCGCAGCCCAGCAGGCACTCCACTTCAGCCCCCCTGATCCCTCCTCCTCCTCCCCCAGAGAAGCCGCTGGATTTAACTCCTGTGGCCTGTCTCACGAGGTTACTTGTAAGAACCTTCCGGGAGCTTGTGACACTGGAGCTCTACTGAAATACTGTTTACTGAGCACTTGCTATGCGCCTATCACGGCACTAGGACTTTATGTGTATTTTCTTGTTAAAACTCAATTATAACCCTGCAAGGAAGGTATTATTGCCCTCATTTCACAGATGAAGAAACTCAGGTTTAAAGAGAGCAGGCTCCAAACGCAGATCCAGACCAGCATTATCCAATAGGAATATAACGCCAGTCATCTAGGCGTTAAAGAAGAAACCATTCCACAGGCCCAATATGGCATCACTCATGCTAATAACCCACGACACCACACCTCGACTCACTACCTGGTCTAACTGCGGATTCAACCTCTCCAAGAAAAATAATCTTAGTCAGTCTGGAATTTTCTGGACAAACACCAGTAAGGTAACCGTCCCCGGGCCCTCTCCCCGTAGAGAGAAGAGGCAATCTGCAGGATTAGAGCCCTTCCCAAAGCACAGCTATCAGGCCCCAAATCGCCCTTTCTTTTCCTTTGCCGATAGTTCCTTGGCCGCATCCTCTTCCTATAAAATTCCTCCATTTTGTCCAACCCTCAGTGAGCCGTCCAGTTGCTATTGGGATGCTGCCCAACTCACGCATCGTTTTATTGGTTGAATTTTTTGGGGTTACATTGGTTAATAAAATTATATCAGTTTCAGGTTATATCAGTATTATTTGTATAATACGTCACCTGTATACAATTGTATTGTATTCACGATCCCATGAATCACCGAATAAAGCCAATTTGACCTTCAAATTTACTTGGTTGAATTTTGTTTTTTAGCACAGGGAATTTAAAAATTTTCTATTGGCTACATTAAAAAGTAAAAAGAAACAAGAGAAACGAGTTGTATTATCTTATTTAACACAACACATCCAAAATATTATCATTTCAACAGGTAATCCATTTAAAAGATTATCAATGGGCTATTTTACATCTTGTTATCTGTACCAGGTCTTTAAAATCTGGCATTTAGGCTTACAGCACCTCTCAGTGTGGACTGGCACATTTCATGTACCAGGAGCCACACGCAGCCAGTGGCTGTGGCAATGGCCTGCTTAGGTCCTCACCCATTTGGCTGTCAGCCCCAAACATTCCCAGATCCCCACCCATGACCTTATAACACGGAGAGATGGGAGCTCAATTGCACAGCAGAGAGCAGCACCTTGAACCTGGACCGTAGCATTTGTCTTTTTCTAGGGCAGGAACCTAAACATTGCCTAGGGGTCTAAGGAAGGCCAAGGCCAATAGTCAAGATCAGCCTCCAGGGAAGCCCTTTGTACTTCAGGACAGCCCAGAGATAGTGAGGGTGGATTCTAAGGACCCGAGGGTGAAGGTAGAGACTTAGTCACCAGTTTCCCCACCCAGCCCATCTCAGGAGAAGGGATGGATGGGTCCAAGGAGTCTGCCCTTTCTGGGTGGAGGTGTTCCATCAGGTGCTTGAAGGACACTGCGGGGGACAGGAGCACCTGGGAGTTCTGGCCCAAAGGGCTCAGCTACCTGGACCCTTGCAGGGAGAGGGTCCAAGCAGCATGAATCTGTGCCACTGTGATGGGCAGACCAGCTGGAGAGTACGCCCCCAAGCACAATCCAAATGTGTGGCCAAATGGGTATGCAGGTAGACACTGGAGTCAGAGCAAGCTGGGTTCCAAGACACACCCCTGAAAGTAAGAGCCAGGGGCTATCCCTAGGGGAGGAGAGACCCCCAAAACATGGCCTAGAAGGAGGACCCAACACACAAAAAGGTCACACACCCTGTCCATTTCACATCCAAACATCCTGAGCTCAAACCCGGTTCCGTCCCCCCAGAAATGGGGAAGAGGCTGCTAGGCTGCCAAATATTGTGCCCGCCCACCCACCTTGTTGGCTGGGGTGCCTGCACCATCTTTGCCCCTGGGGTCAGGGTCAGGTCTGGTGGAAACCACCCCACACCGGGCACTGACACAGCCACACCCCACCACTGAACCCTCTCAGCAACCCTGGGTGCTGGCGTCCCATCTCAGAGACGTAGAAGCTGAGGCTCACAGGGAACAATGGACAATGAGGGGCCCAGAGCCAGCGGGCTGGCAGGACTGACCCCAAAGCCCAAGCTTTCCAGTTTTCTAATTTTAAAATGGAAGCTGCTAGAAGGCAAGAAAAAGGAGTGGGTAGCTTCTTCTGGAATTCCGATCTCTGGGCGTGTTTGAGGCTTTGAGGCGTAAACAGGCCCAGGTGTACTGGAACGAGATGGCTTAGGACAAAGGTCGCTGGTGGCTGTTATGCATTTATTCACTAATTCACAAAATTTGATTGAGCCGCTCCCTACTCTGTGCAAGGCACAATGACGGGGACATAAACACAAATAAGGGCAGGTGTGGCCCTGGGGACTCGCCACGCCGTGACAGCAATCATAAACAGAGAATTCAAATCCTGCACGTTTGTCCAGAGCAATAGCGGAAGGACAGGGAGTGGGAGGAGGTGAGGAGAGGCTCCTGGGGAAGCGAGTGGCCTTGGAGAGTGTGCAGCGAGGTGAAGGGGCTGAAGGGGACCAGGTGTGAAGGCTCAAAGGCCAAGCCAGCACAATGTGCTAGCAGGGAGTTTGGACCCTTGGTGTGGTTGGGTGGACAGCGGGGAGGTGGGGGGAGGCTGCCAGGTTGTGACAGGCTGTGGAACGTGATTATTCAATAGGAACGACACCCTTAGTTGAGCACATACTTCGTGCCAGGTGTGGCTGCAGCTGCACTTGCCTAACGAGGGAGGCTGATCCAGGGCTAGTTGCCCCATGGATGGGGCAACAATTGCTGTGGAATATTTATTAATTCATATACCAACAACCAACGTTTACCGCCCACTTGGTGCCAGGCATTGAGCTTAACAGACACCCTTGAGTAATCCCGACAACCCTTCGAGGCTGCTGCTGTCGCCCCCAACTTACACAAGAGGAAATGGGAGGCTTAGGGAGGCTGAGGTGGCCCCGCCAGTACAGTGGCGCTGGCTTAGGCCTGCCCGTTCGCCGCTGTGAGTCCCTGTGCCAGGCGCCAAGCTCCAGGGGGTTAGGTCCCATCCCTCTGGGTGGAGGCGGGGAAAGCCACCACAAAGGGGGGCAGAGCCAGAGGCACACCTCCACCTCCTTCCACACAGCGCGACAGGCCCCCTCACCCTCTGCCTGTAGCATTCCCGCCCCAGGCTGGTCTTCCCCATCAGATGTCCCCTGCCGCCCAGGCCCCTTTCCAAGTAACAGCTTTTCCACGTGTGAGGATAATGGAGAGACCAAAACAGCCCCACGGAGAGGCCTTTTAGGGAAAATAATTTACGATGTTTATTAACATTTTTGCGGTGACAGGGCGGGTCACCTTCAAGTCCACCAGATTTCATGGGAATTTCCCACTGGAGGACGTAGGAGTGCTGGCTGGCTGTGCCCAAGGCTACAGGCAGTGGCTACACAGCACTCGGATTCCAATGCCTGGGCCTAAAGGAGCTCCATTCAGCATCCCACAGGGGTGCGAGTACTTCCTGTTAAGTGTAGAATTCTAGAGGACAGGTGTCACTGTAATCCAAGGCCCCCATTTTATAGATGGGAGAACCAAGGCTCAGGGAAGTTCTGATTTGCTTGTTGACCTGAAACCCCAAGAGGCCTGGTGACGGTGTCCCCAGGACTGGGGGCTGGTTCTCCTCCCTAACCCGGTACACACAAACCGCCGGGGGACTGGGGTTCTGTGCTCACCCAGAGAGCAGGAAGCCAAGGCTGCTGCCTTTCAGATGGCACGGGGGAGGAGGGGAGGCATGTGCTAGGTCCTCCCCGGGGCCCTCCCACACCCAGCAGCAAAACCAAATGGGTAGTGGGAGGAGCTTGACCTGATGCAACTTCGGGTGTGGGGCGTGAGGGGTGGCGGGTTACTTGTGGGAGTGCCAAAGTCCAGAAAATAATGGAATGGCAAATAGATGCACTCAGCAGAATGGATTTCTGCCTGGGACCAGAGGTCATGGGCTCCAACTCCCTGGTGTTGACCCCTGGCTGGGGTGCTCTGGCCCCTGCCCCACCCTTGCCAGTGCCTGCTCGGTAATGGCAGGAAGTGGGAGCCTGGTGGCCCTGGCATTCCTGGCACTCCACTCCGCTGGACAGGGCTCCCAGTGACCTCACTTCCGTTACTTCCACTGATCAGTTGGTCCTCTCTGGCTCCACCTTCTACCTTTAGGCTGAGCTGTGCCCTTTCTCTGACCAGGGGAGGCTCCTGCTGGCGCCAGGAACACCTGAGCCACATGCTGCCACCAGGTGGAGAGCCACCAAATGGGCCCACGCCCTGCCCCCCCCCCCCCCCCCCAGTCGGCACCCTGAGGCCTCCCCCTTCAGACTCTGGGGACAGAGCCTGAGTACAACTCCAGTGTTGCCACTGCTCATCCTGCAGCTGACCCAGACTGGGATCGTTTTTGGGAAACTCTAAACATGAGTAAAAGCAACCAGTAAAAACTCCAGTCCTGCTGTCCGGGGACTGGAGTGAGGCGGCTGCCTGGGCAGGACCCCCTACCCGAAGCTGCTGGCTGGCCCCTGCATGGCCCAGGGCCACCGACCACTCCCTCTCCTCCCTCCCCAGCCATCTTTCTCCTCCAAGATCCTCCCTCCCGCGCTCAGATACCAGCTAGCGCTTACTCCTCACATTCCTGAGGATCATAAATCCTAGGAGGCAGAGCCGCCGGAGACCTCTGCACCTCCTCCCCGAACTCCACCCCACAGCGCCCAGGTTGGTGGGGCTTCCTCTCTTTTCTTAGAAGTCACACCGGACTGCAAGAGGAGGATGAAGTCCAGCCGCTGAAGTTAATGATACACATACCAGGGCTGGAGGGGAGGCGCGGAGACAGCCCTGCCTGCCACCCCTTCCCCCGCCCCCTCCCAGCGCCCGGGCTCCGCGGGTCCCACTTGCTTCATCCCAGCTCCAGTTACCACCCACTGGGGCCACGGAGGAAGCTGGCACCTCTGGGCAGGCTGGGAATCGGGTGGCCGAAAAGCCGGCCCCGGGATGGGCGGGATTAGAGGTTTCCCCAAACACGGGAGCAGCCACCACAAACAGAACAGAGGAAAGAGGGGACTGGGCCGCCCGCCCGCCCTCCCTCCCTCTCACTTCTAAAGGCCAAAGAACAAGTGGCAAGAAAAGCTCAGAGTCCCAGCCCAGCGCGGGGAAGGGGTGGGGGTCGTGGGAAGCAGCCCCAAGCCTGCAACCGCCCGAGCGCCCGGTAGGCGGGCGGAAGCAGCTTCCCCCTAGAGGATCGAGTTTCCAAAAAGACCAGGCTGGGCGCGGGGCTGGGCGTCCGGGCGCCTGGGTCTCTCCCCGATCCCCCTCCCCTCGCCCCGTTCCAAACTCGCCGCCCGGCCCGGGCCCCCACTTACCCGCTCGGGGTGGCTCTTCTCGGACTCGCGGGGTTCCGGCGTGGCGGCCTGCGGCTCATTTTCGCCGCCAGCCCCCTTCGCCTCGACGGCGGCCGGCGGCTCGGCCTGTCCGGGCCCTTCCTGGGCGCGGAGCATCTCCTCCCGGATCTGGACGCCCAGCTTCTGCAGCCGCTCGTCCGTCTCCAGGTCGACCACCAGCAGACGCACGGCGTTGAGCGAGGCGCGGATGCGGCTCACCACCTGCTGGTGGGTCTCCCTCTCCACGTTCTCGCCGTTCACCTCCACCAGCCGGTCGCCGGCCAGCAGCCCCGCCTTCTCGGCCGGAGAGCCGGGCTCCACCAGCCGGATGAACTGGCCCACCTTGCCCTTCTCCCCGTGCAGGTGGAAGCCGTAGCCGTTCGGACCCTTCTCCAGGCAGCAGAGCCGGGGCAGGGGCGCCCCGGCCGCCGCGTCCGCGCTCATCTCGCCCTGCGACGGCTCAGCGGTTCGACGCGGGGTCCTGTCGGGGTCCGGAGACGGGACGACCCAGCCCTTTCCCCGCGGACGAGGAAGCTGGAGGGAGCGCCGCGAGGACTCCCCGCGCCGGCGGAGCGAGCAGGTGGCCCGCGAAAGGCCGCCGCGCACCTCGGGGAGCTGCACTACAAGCGAACGGACCAATCCCCGCCCGCGCGGCGTCTGAGCTTCCCAGCACCCGCCCCGACCCCTTTTCCTAGGGGGCGGGGCCGCGCCGAGGGTGTGGAGCACCCTGAGCCAATCAGGGACCACAGGCAGGGGGCGCTCGGGCCGGGTGAACGACGCGAGCCAATGAGAACGCGCAGGGGCGGGACCCTGCGCTCCGCGCGGCGCTCGGCGGCGGGAGAAGAAAGAGGCTCAGGAAGTGGAAGTGTTTGTTACCAAGTGGCCCGAGTTGAGGCGGGGGCGGGGCGAGTTCCCGGTGCTGGGCCGAAGGGCCCGCTGGCTCGGTTCTGATTTCTCCCACCCGTGTGTGGCGGGGGTCGAGGAGAGCTAAGCCGGGACCCTAACGTTTTAAACAGCCTTTAGGCAAATCCTTGTGTGCAGCTTCAAGTCGGGGGCTTAGGAGGGGGGCGGGGGGCGGGGGGGAGCGACTGTTGCTGGGGCAACCGATCCCGTTCGGGAACGAGGCTGCGAGGTCCCAGGGGTCGTACAAAAAAGACTGAGATCCACCTCGGACTCAACCGTTGTTTGAATAACGAAGTCTTCGGCTTGTGGAGCCCCTTTGTGCTGTCCCGGGACCTGGTTATAGGGGGGCGTGCTCTGATCCTCCCTGGGACGGCGTGAGGGCCCAGGAGAGACACTTCGCGGGGCTGCCCATTGAAGAGGCCATCAGGGCAATGGCATGGGCATGGGCACTGGCCTCGGCGCTGGACGGGAGAATTGGGGTGGGGGCAGGCAGAACAGAGTCAGGTAACCAACCGCAGTACAGTCTACAGGGAAAGAGCCCTGGCTTTCTTCCATTAAAAAAAAAAAAAAAAAAAAATATCAGGACCCTAAGATAAGCCTCCTTTCAGCTCCTCACAGAGGAGAGGCTGGTCACAGAGGCCGGGCAGTCTGTTAAAGGGTGAGGTGACTACTTGGGGCCATTGAAGGACGAAGATCAGATGATTTTGGCACTTCAGGGCAGTTCCTCCAGCAGGGACACTCCTTTCAACATGATCCCCGCTCCCATGCCGCATCTCAAAGGAGCAGTGGACAGGATGTACTTTCCAAAATACTGCAATTTAATTCTGAAAAAAACAAATGCTAGAGGCCCAGAGCAGCCCGAGGGACTGGGTCCCCAGTGACCTGCCCTGGGCAAGGTCAGGCTCCTCCCTGCGCTGCCTGGGAGAGGCCTCGGAGAGCTTCCTTATCAGGGCCCAAGTCGGAGCTGCTGACTCGGCTCGGACCGCGAGATTTCTGCCTTGAAAGCAAATGCAGTGGCCTCAGACACGTCCAGCGCACGCCTCTTTCTCGCCCCTCTCCCCTGCCCCTGGCCCGGAGAGCCAGGGCATAGGCGCCTCTAGGTTGGGACATGCAGGCCTCCTGTCCCCCTCCAGTTGCTGGGGTCAGGGCTCTGGGAGACGTGTGACCCGGCCCCACATAAACTCCTTGCTGCCCCTTCCCCCTCCCCAGTCTTCCCCACACGACCTTGTGTTGCACACGTTCTGGTTAACCCAGAAATGGGCGGCCTCTCCTTCCCGACCCTGTCTCAGTAGGAGGGGAGATGAAGCAATTTGGGCCCTGGGTCTGTTTGAGAACATAAGGGCATCGGGAGAGCCAGCACTTGGGTTGAGGAGAAGACATGGGGGTGAGGTTTGCTCAGGTTTGCTTCCCCCTTACTCTGGAGATGGGGGTTTCTTTTTTAAGGGCTCTTTCCCCAGTAGAAGCACTACAGCTGTTTGAAGAAATAGCCAGAGGACTGCATACCCGCCAAAGGGTTGAGACCGGAGAATCAACTCTCTCTCACTGTGACCTGAGGTGCCCAGGGGCATAGCAGAAAGGAAAGGAAGACCAGGGATCCAGGGGGGTCCAGAGAATAGCAACCAAATGCTCCCAAGGGCCCCGTTGTGCTTGTGAGCAGGAGGAGAAGGGCCGCACCTCCTGGAGGGGGGCTCGTAAGGCTAGAGGTAGCCAAACAGACCCAATCTCTGCGACTCCTCTCTTCCCCTCCCAGGGAGGGAGCTGGGCCGCCGCCCAATCTCCACATTGCTTATCTTCCCTGATAAGAGATAGGCTTTGGTTTAGCAGCTCCCAGCACAAGGGCCCATCTTCTGGGGGAGACTGCTCCCTGGGGAGCTGGAAGAAATGAAGGCCCGGGTCTGCTCAGCCTCTCCCCAGCTGAACTGAGAGTGGGAATAGGGTCACTGCCTGCCCTCCTGCCCCAGAAGCGCATGTTCCTTGGTAGCGAGCTGGAGCATTACTGCCCTCATCATGGCTAGGAGGGAGGCCCAGCCCCCGAGTCCTAGTATCTACCAGAAGGCTAAGGCCACCAGGTCCCTACCTTGGTTTTCTGGTGCCCCCTTTGTGTGTGTGTGTGTGTGTGTGTGTGTGTGTGTGTGTTAAATTATGTATCACTAAACTGAATATATATTTTACCCTCCCTGGGGATGCAGGGAAGCTACAGGAACGAAGGTAGGGGTGGGGGTACAGCCCCCAGTTGGGAAGGGGCTGTGCACTAGGCCCCCAACTCTCTCCCCCATTGGCTCAGCTGCTCAGAATCAACCAGGTCTTGGGGAGCAGGCTGCATCCTCGTGGGCCTCGGGAGCCGTCTCTCAGCCCCTTGGGTTTCACAGGAAGGAGCAACAGCCAGGCCGCTGCTTCTGGGACTCCACATAGTCTCGGATCTGGAAGCTGGGCTCGCCGGCCTGCAGCCCGGCCCTGTATTTCAGCTCCCTGGAAGAGGAAGAGGCAACGGGCTGGGCAGCGAGCCGGGTGGGGAGCATCCTCCCCTCTCCCATGGCCGGGGGCAAAGGGACCTCAGACTGCAGGTGCAGCTGAGCCCAGGGGCCGGGCCCTACTGGACCCACAGATGGTGCCACCTGGCCCTGCACCGTTCCCTTCCCCGCCCAGCTCTCACTTGGCAATGGCCAGAAAGGCTAACTCCACATTCATGCCCGTCTTGGCGCTGGTCTCCATGAAGGGAACTCCGTACTCCTGCCAGGGAGAGTGTGTCCTCAGGGCCAGCCTCTGCTTGCCCCCACCCGTCACCCTGCCCACAAGGCAGCCACTTACCCTGGCCAGCGTCTCTCCGTCTTCCGAGCGAATCACCCTCTCACTGCTCACATCTGCCTGTAAGCCCAGGAGGGTCACTCTGGGGAAGGAAGCCCCAGACCGCCCCTCTCCTGCCCCCTCTGGCCCATCTGTTGCCCTAGGAGTAGGCACTGCCCGCCCCCTGCTGGTGGCCTGTGGGACTGCGGCCTGTATGACTGGCACCGGGAGAGGTTTCCACCTGGTTCAGGAGCAGTTCCCCAGCGGCCAGCCCTGGAATCTCACTCCCTCTTGGGGAGGTGGGTAACTCTCCTAGGCAAGGGCGCGGAGACCCAGCCTCAGAGGGTGACAGTAGCTGGGGCTAACTTTTCTGCTCTTAACTCTGTATCCGTGACCCTGGTTACTGTGACCTAATAGGGGCCCAGCAGCTGGGCAGCCTTGGATCTCACAGGCAGCAGCTAAACTTCCCCCACAAGGGCCGTTCCAAAGCTTACAGACAGATAAGATGGACTGAGCCGCCGGGACAGTCTGACCCCTAAACTGGAGACCGGAAAGGGTCCTTTGCTGGAAGGGTAGCCAGCTAACACTCTCGGGTAGTGATGAGGCTGGGCGCAAGCAATGCTGTGGCAGCGGGAGAGGAGGTGCAGGTGGGCTGGTCCTGCCATGGACCACTCACCTTGTTGCCTAGCAGCATGATCACCACATCCCTCTGGGCGTACTCGTGAATCTCAGTGAGCCAGGCCTGTGGGAGAGGGTGAGCTGAGCCGGGCTAAGGCTGCGCCCCAGCCATTCTTCCCCTCCCTTTTGCCCCTCCTCCTTCTGCCCTATTTGATTATCCTGGGCTACCCACTGCCCCCTCCAACCCCGATGCCCTATTCATTCTCGTATCCGCATCCTTGTTCTGGCCTCCCCAGTCCTGAGTGGTTCCAAACCCCACACAGCGGACTCCTAGTTCTATAGAGATGGCAGCAGCTTTGTCTCAGACATCAGTTGGCAGTCACCAGTGATTTCCCGTTGAGGATTCTAAGGCCGCATAAGGGCTCAGTGATAAAAAATACGATGATTGATTAGTAATGTCTGCCATGAGCATGGGGTTGGCAGTGGCAGTATGAGTGCCATCCTCTTCTTTTGTTTGAGTTTAGAGAGGGAGCAAGGGAGAGAGAGAGAGAGAGAGAGAGAGAGAGAGAGGGAGAGGAGAGAGAAGCATCAATTGGTTGCCTCCAATATGTGCCTGACCGGGTGAGGAACCCGCAACCTAGGTATGTGCCCTGACTAGGAATCAAACCCACGACCTTCTGGTGCAGGGCATGATGCTTCAACTGCCTGAGGCACACCAGCCAGGGCTCCATTCTCTTTATAAGCTGTTTTATATCTGTCTTGTCCCCCACTTTGCTTGTCGACCCCTTGAGGTCAGAGAGCATGGGAAACCTTTACGGGGTTACACACAGGGTCAGTGCTTATATTTGTTGAGCGATCGTCTATTTTCTTCAATAGTTTGGTGGTGAGGACAGAGCCACACACTCTGCCCGTCTGAGTCATTTCTTGCAACTTGGACTAGATGTTCGGATAGACCTTTCTGCTTGTCCTCCCCTTGGCTCCTGGGGGTAATTGCCCAGGGTGGAGCTGGGTACTTTCTGAACTTTTGTCATGAAGCACACTCATGAATCACCATCAGGCTCAGCACTGCCTGGTCTCCATGCCCATATGCCCATCGCATACCCAGAGGCAGCGTATTACGCCTGAGTCACAGCTCAGGTATCTGCGAAGGCAGCAGCGTTCCGGGCTCCACCCCCTGCCCCAGAGCAGGAGGCAGCCCTGAACTCCGCAGCCCTGCCTTCTGCTGTGGTGGTGGACAGAGCGACCTACCCGGATGTTTTCGAAGGAAGACTTGTTGGTGATGTCATACAGCAGGAGCAAGGCTGCAGGGGGAGAGAGAGGTCACACGGGGACTGGGGCAGAAGGGCGGGTGTCCCAGGTGGGCTGGGGAAGGAGTTGGCGTGCACCTGGGACTCACCTTGGGCATCTCGGTAGTAAGCGTGGGTGACACTGCGGAACCGCTCCTGCCCGGCGGTGTCCCAGATCTAGGAAGGGACGGACACACGGTCAGAAGGAGGCAGGTGCAGGGGCGGGGGTGGGCAAGGAAACTCGTGTCGTGGTGCGAGGTGTGTGGGAAGGCGACCTCCTTGCGCCTCTGCTTCTCACGGGCTCCTGACACCTGCCGATCCCTGCCTGCTGACAGGTCCGAGTCCTCCAGCTTCCTCAGTGCTGTGGCCCCTTCCCCAGCCCAGGAGACTAGAGCGGGAGGCAGGGGAGGAGGAGCCAGCCTAAGCTTGTCTGAAGGCACTTGAGCGCCTTTGTTAGAAGGGAGGGCGCCTGGGAACTGCTTTTTCTGCAGACATCAAAGGAACAAAAGCCGCTGTTGCTTCTTGCGGGCCCCACAGGAAATTACCCCAGGCCAGGCACGGGGCAGGCCACGCCTCCTGTGGTTTGGGGTGTAGAGCCAGGGCAGGCCAATCCACCCCTCCTTCCCCTCCCCTCCCCTCCCTCCCACAAAGCCTGCCTCTCACCTGCAGCTTCACCCTCACACCATCCACGGTCACCACCTTGTTCTGAAAGAGAAAAGGGCACAGGGTGGCCAGAGGGCAGGGCAGCCCCGGCTCCTGCGCTCTGCTGACGTCCTACGAGGAAGGAGCGTCTTGTCCTGGTCGTTCCCCAGGACTGGAGGGGGTGTGGTGAGCCTCAGAGCTGTCCCAGCCAGATCACCCCATCAGGGCAGTGGACCCCTGTCCCCAGAGAGTCCTGCTGAGGAGCCCTCTTCTCTCTGTCTGTTCTCACTATACGAGGCTAAAGGGAGCCTGAGGACCTGCCTGGCTCTCCCCTGGCAGAGGGCTGAGAACTGGGGATCCCACCCCTCCCCCACTTCCGCCTGCCTCTCCAGGAGCTGGGTCCCATCCTGCAACCAAGCTCTGAGAGGTGAGATGCCCCAGCATCCCGGGGACCTCCTCTGGCTGCTCCCCAATCCTCCTAGTGGGCTGCCTTCCCCTCCATGGGAGGCGCCCCCCACCGCTGGTGGACCCCTGCCAGGGTTAGGCCCTCACTCCCCTGACCCTTTGGGGGAGCAGCGCTCAGAGGCCTCAGTGTCCCGATGCAAGGGGACCCTGGTTTGTCAAGAAGGACCCTGAAGGTGAGAGGAGGGACCCTGGCAGGCTGCTCTCTCCCCACCTGGCCAGCCCAGCTCCTCCACCTGGTGTGGCGGTGCCTCCCGGAGTGCCAGGAAAGCCCGGCGAGGGGGCACCGAGCAAGGGGCTGTGTCTGCCCCACTGGGAGCTGAACTTTAAGACTCAGTCTCTCAATGTTCATATCCTGCAGCGGGCAAGGAGCCAGCCCGACCTCCGCACACGGGTCCACCTCAGTGGTCCCTTCCCTGGGGCAGCCCTTGTGCCCTCCGGGCAGTGAGCCACCGTCCTGCAGCTGGGGACAGGCGAGGGCAAGGCAGTGCCCCGGGTCTGAGCCACAGCCCGGCTCGCTGCGGGAGGCAGAGCCGGCAGCCACCTCACCCTGAAGTCTATGCCGACGGTGGCTATGAAGGTCCCGGACAGGAAGGCCCCGTCTTTGAATTGGATCAGGAAACAGGTTTTCCCGACGCCCGAGTCTCCCAGAAGCATCACCTAGGAGATGGGGGCAGAGGCAGTTAATGGGGAGCTGGGGCGCATTTCTGGGCTTCCAGGGAGAGAAGCCCCGGACAGAGAGGCAGAGGGCTAGGGGAGGAGGCTGACATGGGGGGAGGGGGCATCTGCTACCGCTCTACCTCTTCCCTCCACACTCTCGCCTCTCGGCTCTCCCTCTGACCTCAGTCCTCCCCAACTTCCTGGGAGCTTGTGCTGAGACGTCAGCACCACCGGGTCCCCAGATGTGTTCCCTGGCCCTGGAGAACCACCCCATCGGTCTCAGACACGTCGGCCCTGCCCCACCGGGCCCAGACCCCCTCGCACTGCGTGTTCCAGCTGTGCCTGCGCGCATGCGTGGGCAGAGAAACAGGCAATAAACGTTTAAAAAAATCAGGAAATGTTAATACTTGGGACAGGATTCCCAGCAGAGGGAGGTGTCACCACCTGATGGGGCGGGGGCCCCGCTTTTGCAAAGGCACATTCTAACCTCACTATCCTTTTGGTCACCACACTTATTTGGAAGTTTCTGATGATGTTACATGTTTTTTTTTCTTCTTTATTTGATGTTACATGTTTATAAAAAGGTTGCATGGCCTGGCCAGTGTGGCTCAGTGGTTGAGAATCAACCCATGAACCAAGAGGCCATCGGTTTGATTACTGGTCAGGGCACATGCCCGGGCTCCAGGCTCGATCCCTGGTAAGAGACGTGCTGGAGGCAACCAGTTGATGTTTCTCTCTCATGAATATTTTTTTTTCTCTCTCTCCTGTCCTTTCTCTTTAAAATTAAAAAAAACTTTTTTTAAAAAAAACATTGCATGAGCCAGCAAAGATTCAACTTTATACCGAGGTGGGGCGACATTTAGTCTGAAGTTCTTTCAGCAGAAACCTCCCAAGTGGGACAAATGGCCACAAATTGGGATCACTGGGTCACTGTCGGGCAGGGGTGAGGGGCGGAGGGGTGTGTCCCGCCCCTTTATCGCTAGGCCAGTCTCTGCTCATCTTCACTGGGGAGCACAGGGGTCGGGGAGACGAGCCCCCTGTCCGGATATCCCTCAATATTGGAGAACAGAGGTCTGGACCTGATGCTGGAATTTTCCCAGCTGGCCCATTAGGAGCTTAATGGGTTGGAGAAGGACTAGGCCTGTGTTATTCTTGAGGCTCTGACCTTGACAAAGGCTTTCCTGCTGAGCCTGTGGGATATGGGGATGAGCTAACTGAGCTGGAAGCTAAGGGGGCTGAGCAAAAGGTGATGAAGGCTGGGGTCCTGGCTTGTGAAGGGCTTGCTTGTGAAGGGGGGCTTTGGGACGATTCCTGAACTGTGCATGGCTCCCACAGTGGCTAGAAGGACGGAGGGAGACTCTCTTTGAGGCATCTCTAGAGCCTGTTAATGGCCAGGACCAATCATGTTGCATGAAGCACCCAAGACGAGTGGGTGCAGGGGGGCACTGCCTGCTGCAGCCCCCCCCCTCCTTCTAAGGCAGCCCCAGGAGCTCCTGCCAGGCTGTCCTGGACCCAGTCTCCTGGGCAGGCCTGGGGCACCCAGGCTGGTGGAGGCCGCTTGGCCCAGGGGACAGATGGCGGGGCCGGAGCCCTCTGTCGCCACACTGCTCCTGGACTCGTAGGTCCCAGCCCCCAAGAAGGAGGGAAGGAGAGTGAGCTCCTGTGTACTTTACAGATGACAGCTGCCTTGAGCACACGCTGCCAGCCACCGACCACTAAACACAAACAACTGCCCAGCCTTGCCACCTCCTAAGCAAACAGCTCATTGGCTTGTCCGGCCAGGAGGTCAGGCAGTCCCCCCAGCCTGAGCTGGCTCCCCCCAGCTTCCCTCCCACCGAAGGCCCAGGGGCCCACTTCCTGCCAAGAGCCCACACAGGGCGCCTATCTCAACGGCTCTGGGCGGGTGACTTGCGGAGTGGCTTCCCCTGAAACAATGGGGGCGGAGGCCCCAGCTCCTGGCTAGTGAGCCCCGCGTGTGGGGAGGAAACCAAGGCACAGAAAGAGCAGGTCTCTTTCAAGACCCTGCATCCTGAGAGGGGCGCCGACCCGCCCACCTAACGCGAGCCTGGGAGAAGGCTGGGAGCGCCCAGCTCCCTTTGCACCTCTTTCAGGGTCCCTGGTACCCGGCTGCCCCCAGGGCCTGGAAGGAGAGCACACAGACCAGCGTCCATTGCCACCCTCGCCTGCTTCTGTATGGGTCACCCGTGGAGGGACTGCGCCCAGAGAGCGGACTTCCACTCCCCAGGTGGGGGGACCTGTGAGCAATCACTGAGATCCTTCTCAGGTTCCCAAACCTCCAGGTGGGCCTGCGTTCTGGAGGAAGGAGCGGCAGCAGTGGGAAGGGAAGAGGCAGAACCTGGGGGCAGCTGGAGTTTTGGGCCTAAGGAACCCATGTCAAGTCTCAGCTAAGAGCTTAGCTGGGAGAAGGGCATTAACCCCGTTGCTCGCCGCCAGGGGCCGGCCTCTCTGGGTGTCCAGGCATCCAGCTTCCTAGCACCCAGGGTGGGTGCCTGCGTCCAGGAGCGTTAACCCTCAGCGAGAAGCCTGGGGGTCCCCGGGGACTCACATTAGCCGGGAGTGGCAGAAGAAAGTTGGGTTGGGGAGTCACTTCCCAGCTTCCTCTCCCTGGCCTGGCAGAGCCAGCTCAGGTACCAGAAGTTGGGATGAGCCTCTACTCCGGGACACCGGCTGCCTGGCTGGGGGGAAGGACATACGCAGCCAGAAAGGCGCAGGGTCCCGGGAGCCCCAGGGTCTCAGGTTAAAGGGCGCGGGGAGGGGTGGCCCTCGGCACCCGCACAGGCGCCCCCAGCGCTGGACGCAGTGGCCACCCACCTTGCGCGCGAGATCGTAGCTCGGGCTGCAGGGCGGCGAGAGCTCGGGGGCCTCGCCATCCTCGGTGGCAGCGGCGCCAGGCGTGCCCGTCATGTTCCTGGACCAGAGGTGAGCTGGCCCCGCTGCGCGCGACGGACGGAGCAGGAACGGCTGCGCCTTAGGCCCGCCCACTCCTACCGGCCCCGCCCACTCCTACCGGCCCCGCCCCTGCCGGGACCCCGCCAGGCTCCTCCCTCTGCCCCGCCAACCCGCACGCCCGCCAGCGCCGCGCCCGGGGGGCAGCGGGACCCCGACGCAACACTGACCGGCTTCTGGCTCTGAGGCGGGGGCCAGATCCACCCCGAGGACCGGCTTCCCAAAGTCGCCAGCCGTCGGGGTTAAGTTCCCACGGTCGGCAGTGCCTGTGCGCCCGGCCTGGTACGGAAGGTCTGGCATCATTGGGACCCGCGCACCGGCGCCGGGGTTTCCGCTGTCGCTGCGCAGCGCGGCCAGCAGGCGGCGCCCGAGCCTCGCCAGCTGGCGGCCCACAGGTGCCCCGGGTGTGGGGTCCGGGAGAGGCTGGGCCGCCCCTGACCTTCGCGGTGCTGCGTTCGAGCCCAGGCAGCCTCACTGTTACTACGCAGCCCAGCCCGAGCTCGTGTGAATATAATTTTAGTTACCGACCTATGCATCTTGCAGCCCATGGGCGCTGGTTGGTTGGTGCTGGAACTTTGACCCTTTAGCGCAGACCGCCTCTCATTTCTCCCTGACCTGCGGGGCTGCGTCCAGAATGTCCCATCACGGGCTCTCCCCGCCTCTGAGCTCTCCCCGCCCTGCAGTCCAAGCTGCGATCCCACGCGCAAGGTGGGCTGGGCACTCCTGTGCGGGTTCTGAGGGCCACCCCTCCCCGCGCCCTTTGCCCTGAGACCCTGGGACTCCCGGGACGCAGTGCCTTTGTGGCTGCGTCTAAGTTGGCGCTCCTGAAGGCAGGGCTGGCCTTCCCACGCGTGGCCCTCCGCCTTTGGCAATTAGTAGGCCCTAATCGTTTGGTATCAGGTGAATTCATGAAGTTATGAAGCATTTTGAGCAGAGTCTCCAGGACATCCCGTGAAGGTCCAGCCCAGGAGAGAGGGAGAGCCCAGCCTGTCCTGTCTCAGGCAGTGCCAGGCTCTCAATTGAACCACATACTTCCTTCCTTCTCACAGGTTAGGGGCAAAACTTGGAGGTCCCACCCCGTGCATCTGCCGAGCGTGAATGAGAGTTTGTGCACCCGTAGCCACACCCATGTCCAGCCCACACTCTGCCTTTTGAGTCTGACCGGTGGGAAGAGGGCAGGGAGTGGAGTGTGACTCTGAGGGCACCGTGGGCCCTGTGTGCTGAGGGGGCAGGCGGGGCATGTGCCCGTGGTGGGGGACGCCCAGCACCAGCCAGCCTGGTTCGAGTCGTGGAAGGCCTCAGGTGCCGTCAGCACAGCCTCGCCCTCCTGGGGCTCAGCCCTGCACTCCGGAGCCCAGCGGCTCCCAGTGGCTGGAGAGCTGGGGGCACTGGTGTGTCAGGTTGGATTCTGGGCTCAGCACCGAGGCTGAGCTCACATTTCAGCCTCACTCGGAAGCCCTGTCCGTGGTGGGCCCTGGCCTTCCTCCCTGTGACCCGGGCAAGCTCAGTGTCTGGGGTTTCCCCTGTCTCTTTCCATGAGCGGGACTCTGCCGCGTCCCAGCCGAGTGGCCTCGCAGGCCTGTGCTCTGTTGGCCCCAGAGGCTGGCCTCCCAAACACCCACGCCGCCCAGGAAATGCCATGGGCTCCTCCCCAGGACGCTGGAGACCCCAAAGAAGGCCCTGCAGCTCCTGAGAATAGTCCATGCCCAGAGCCAAGTCCCCTCAGAGGCCTTCCCGGGACCAGGGGTTACCGAGCAGCCGCAGCCCTGGTGAGAGTGGACAGAGGGTGAGGGGTGGAGGGAGCCCTTCCTGGCCCACGAGGGGCTATGGGTTGGGACCACTTCTCTAATCTGAGCTGCCCCCGTGCTGTGTCCAGGGAGAGACCAAGAGCTAAAAATAGAACTTTAACTTTGCCCTCCCAGTGCCCTAGGACCACAATGCCAGGATTGGACTGTTTTTGTCATTTTAAGCCACACCCTTGCCTCCCCAGGTTCTTATTGCCTTGGAGGTGGACATGGGCAATCTGTATCAACACATGTCCTTGTTTTCCAGCTTCCGGTTGTGTGCAGTCAATGGGGAGCCCCATAGGATATGGGGGGAGCAGGAGGAGGGCAGTGTGGGGGGAGGGTTACTAGGCTTTGCTGCGTTCCTCCACTGATGGTCACAGCTCCTGCCCGCCAGCCCCCTGCACACAGCCCTCTTGGTCCCTGGGTCTGTGATGGTTCCCTCCTCTCACCTCTCTTAGGCTGGGGAGTGGGGTGGGGGATGGAAGCCCTATAAGGACCCCAAAACACTGCACCATCCCTCCTGGTTTCCCAGCACCCTGTCAACATCTTGGTCAATAGTCTGTTTATTAAACCTCCTAGAATGATCCAACACGAGTGACCACCTGCTTCCTGCTGGGACCCTGACAGAGCCCACCTGGGGCCCCGGAGGCGGGGAGCACTTACTGTGAATCCGATGCCCACAGTGGCCGAGAAGGAGCCGGGGATGAACTTGCCCTGGTCGAACTGGACCAGCAGAGATGTCTTCCCCACGCCACTGTCGCCCACCAGGATGGTCTGAAGGGAGCAACGGAGAGGCGGAGCTGCAGTGTGAAGCAGGTTTCTGAGATGGTGTTGTGGCTGGGACAGTGGGCTCCTTGTAAACACACATACACATGTGTGCACACACACACAAACCCACACACAGACACACACACAGACACATCCACACAGATGTACACATAGACAGAGGGCATGCCCATACACACAACATGTACAGAGACACACTCATACACACAGATGCACATTCGCTGAAGGAGGCAGGAAAGCATAGAGGAAATCTTGTTTCACCCCAAGTTAAGACACGTCTGAGGTGACCATGAGAAGGTGCCTCTCAGGCGCCTAAACTCAGGGGCATAACTGCCCGCCCCCCCTCTCCCCCCCGGGCTCTGCAATCACCATTGGCCATTGGTGTGTGTGCCCGGAGGCGACTTCACACGGGCAATCCCAGCCAAAGGCGGAGCGTGGCAGGGACTCGGAGGCGGGGCTTGTTTCTGGGGATACAGGACCTCCTCATGGCTGCTTTCGGCTGGGGGACCTCCTCATGGTTTTACAGAACCTTCCAGAGACTGTGTGGTGGCCTCTGTCCTTCACTTGGGGTCAGACCATGGTCTGCAGGCTCTCCCTGCCTCTCCTGGTTTCTACCTGGTGTTTCCCCTAAAACAGTCCCTGCACAGCGAGTTCCCTTTCCACACCTGCTTCCTGGGAGACCTGGACTAGCACCACGGGCCCTCAGTGTGGGGAAGTCTCAAACAGGAGTGACAGGAAAGATCAGCACGCCAGGCTACATGCCTTGGGAAGAAAGAGTTTGCACTTGGCCCTGGAACAAGGCCGTGGAGAGAACATTTCAAAGAGAAGCAGAGTTTGGGAAAAGAGGGGAAGGACACATTGTACTGGGAGGAAGAAGCGGGGAGAATCAGCGTGGAAGTTCAGGTGCTGAATAATTAATACGTAATAGTACAAGAATAAACTTTGGTCCTCGCTAGTCTGGCTCAGTGGATGGAGCGTTGGCCTGCGGACCGAAGGTCCCGGGTTCGATTTCGGTCCAGAGCATGTACCTCGGTTGCAGGCTCCTCCCCGGCCCAGGCTCTGTGCAGGAGGCAACCAATGGATGTTCCTCTCACATCAGTGTTTCTCTCTGCCTTTCTCTCTCTGTTTCAGTCTCTCTAAAAATCAGTAGAAAAATATCTTCAGGTGAGGATTTTTTTTAAAAAAGAAAAGAATAAACTCTGTGTTTCCTGTACTCACAACTGTAAGCCTACTTTTGCCCCACTCTGTACACACACCCAAGGGCTGGTACCCAGTAGTCTCTCAGTGAGTGAATGAAGGGATGAATACTGTAAATAAGTGGATAAATGCCTTACTTTCAAAATGGACAAGAGTTACTTTGCAAGGCAAGCACCCAGGGGAAGAATAACAATGTAGTAAAAATAGTTCATTCATTTATTCATTTTCCATCAGTTATTTATTGAGTATCTACTATGTGCCCAATGTGGTTTTAGCCACTCGGGACACAGCCCTATAATACAGAGTGGGAGATATGCAACTAACCGGGCTCTGCCACCTATGGACAGATTGGGTTCTGATAGCAGATTAGCTGTAGTTTGCAAGTCTACCCTGACCAAGAGGGGTGTGGGCTTGCAGTCCCTGTATGCATTTCCACCAAGACAAATACATTGACAGTATTTGTTTATAGGTCATCTTTCCCCAAAGCTGACAACAAAAATCTATTGAGCAATGAGTGACATGAACTCATGTAACACATCAGCGACTCTGCTTGATTTCTGAAATAATGCATTTCTGCAGGAAGAGATAAAAGATGTTAAAGTGATTATCTTGGGGTGGTGAGATTAGAGGCAATTAAATCTCTCTCTCTCTCTCTCTCTCTCTCTCTCTCTCTCTTTTTTTTTTTACCTTATCTGTGTTTTCACAATTGTTTTTTTAAATCTCTCAGTTTGTTTATGTGATGTATCATGTTTATTGATTTGCGGATATTGTACCATCCTTGCATCCCCGGGATAAATCCTACTTGGTCGTGGTGTATGATCTTCCTGATGTATTGTTGGATCCAATTTGTTAGAATTTGTCGAGGATTTTGACATCTGTGTTCATGAGGGATATTGGCCTGTAATTCTCTTTCTTTGTGTTGTCTTTATCTGGTTTTGGAATTAGGGTAATGCTGGCTTCATAGAATGAGCTTGGAAGTGTTCCTTCCTCTTGAATTTTTTGGAATAGTCTGAGGAGGATAGGTTATAGTTCTTCTTTGAATGTTTGGTAAAACTTCCCTGTGAAGCTGTCTGGCCCTGGGCTTTTGTTTGCTGGAAGCTTTTTGATGACTGCTTCAATTTCCTCCATGGTTATCGGCCTATTGAGATTTTTAGATTCTTCCTGATTGAGTTTTGGGAGGTTGTATTTTTCTAGGAATATGTCCACTTCCTCCAAGTTGCCTAGTTGTTGGAATGGAGTTGTTCATAGT